TAATTAGTTGCGAACATGCCATTCACCATCACAAAATCTAACATTGGAGAGACAGATAATGTCAGTTTGTTAATATTCATCCTTTTATCATGTAACTACTTGCTGCTACAAAATGAGTGAACAGCACAGCCACATTTTTATGATTGAATTCCCATGGTTGATCATTCACTGTACACAAATTTCTATATCGATCAAGACCATTAATACTGTAATATCATATGCTGAGCACATAACCAATGAATCTTCTGTGTCGCATATAGATTTCCTAATTAGATTAACAGCTTTGATGCTAATTGGGAATAATATGACTGTACTAAGTAATTGGCGATATCTATAATAATAACGATAACAAAATGTTACTAATAAACTTTCGGTTATAACAAACTTTTACTAATAAATCTGTTTATAACGGATCCGAACTGCCTTTCGAAATTTTGTATATTATATATGCTCTTCCTATAATGAACTGTCACTGGCGTCAATCTTACCAAATTTGCCGTGACATTAAATATTCAATATTGGCGTTGAGACTTACGTTATTATTAACAGAAGACGGAAATTCCTTGATTTCATAGTGAACAAATTAGCATGTTAATTTAGTATATAAAAACCCTCAACGCTCAGATATTGTAATTAAAAATAAAGATGTCAACTCGAAAACGAACACGCTCAAAAACGAGGCAAAAAAAAAAAACAATCCAAGTTTAAACAATGTTGAACTTGCAAGAGAATATAATATAGGGAAAGCGACTGTGACCGATATATTGAAGGAAAAGGAACGTTGGCTTTCTATTACAACCGAACAGGCTAATTTGAAAAAATTTCGCGAACCCAACTGGCCAAAGCTTGAACAAGCTCTTAGTCTTTGGGTTAATAACGCACTTTACTCACAACAAGACATAACTGGTAACTTTAAAAGAAAAAGCAAACCAATTTGCAACCAAGTTTTCAATCAACAATTTTCGTTCATCGGATGGATGGTTGGCAGGGGTTTAAAGGCGAAGCTGCGAGTGCGCCGTCTCTTGAATTGTTAGAAATGCACGAGTTTCTTTACAGACTCCTTGGCAATTATAGTCCTGAAGACATTTGGAACGGTGACGAGACTGGTCTTTTCTGGAAAATGGAACCGTCGCGCGTTCAACAAATTGTCGGGTCACAAAAAAGATAAATCTCGAATTACACTTTTCTGTGCGGTAAATTCTTTAGGAACGTAGAAGATAAGCTCAGTTTTATTCATCAACATCATAGGCCTCGACCTAAATTACAATAACTTGCCAGTGTATTTCTACTGGAATAAGACAGCTTGGATGCAAGTCAGCATCTTTAATGAAATTCTCCTTATACTTAACAATGATATGAGAAATCAAGGAAGAACAATCCTGTTGTTAATCGATAATGCACCAGTGCATATCATTCTTGAAGAAACTGCTGAAAAACTGGAGTCTAAAGGTTGAATTACTTCCACAACTTTTCTTCAGCCCTGTGATGCTGGGATTATTCATTCATTTAAATGTAAATATAGGGCCCTATTTGTTCAGAATCGAATCAAAGCATACACAAAGTAAAAGGGGCAAAGCCCTTCATAATTCAAGCTCTAGTTTAGATTAATAAAAGAACCTTTACCACTTTCGGACAAGGGATTATCATTATATTTTAGCACTGAAACAAATTGAAATAGGTTAATTATTCTTGTGTCTTCGTAGTTGAATTATAATAAAAATACAAATTGCTGTTTATTATTATATGACTCAAGCCTTGTCGAAAATCAAAAGTTTACCAGAAAGATTCTCGGATAATAATAATATTAATTTGGGCAATCTTTGGGTGCTTGACGATTCCTATCTAATTAATTTAGGCCTTCAATACATATTTATGATATAATGTGATCCGTCGATAGAATTGTTTGCATCAAGTAATAAATATATTAATATCGTGTGCTTATAACACGTGTTAACTACATAAATAAAGCACAATACCCAATTGTCTCCTCTCGCCGTCTTCCTAAGAGGCGGAAATGGGAGAATATCCATTTATATAACTAGGAGTGCTGTTCCCGGACGGCTTGAAGGAGTCGGCTTCTTCCGCACAATACTTTTCGAAAGCTGCTTTTACAGATTGCGCCTTTTCGTCGTCAAGAAAAGAAGTCATCAGAAATAGTAGGGAAAATTTTGTGGGTGCTCTTGCGCGCAAGTAGAAATTCATTACAAATTTTAAATAAACCGCCGAACGTAACATCTCACCTTTTCAGCATTTCGGACAAACACGCGAAGGTACTTCTCTTCGGGCACTTTATATTCTGTAAGTAGCATGACCAGGACGGCCCCAGTAAAAGAATGGATTCGATTGTTGGATTAACTTATGCAACACACAGACGTATAACCTCCACCCTTAAACTGTCAACCAGATTTTGTTCCGACAAAACGTACTAGTACTAGTCCTTGATACCACGTCATCGTAAAACTTGATATCAATATGGTCTAATGCGGTTTCCTCGTGCAGTGCAAGTTTTATAACGCCAATCTTCACAATAACGTCCTCTTCGGAAAGGCCTTCGCCGCAGCTGGAAATTTTACTGACGTAATTCATAGGGCTCTAAGAATGTTTAACGGGATATCAGCTTCACTATTCTCAAGGTCTATATTATGCCCTTTTTAAGACTTACTTCATCAAACGCAAGGCAGTCAGCAGGAATAGGACATTCTCCAACGAATTTGTAAAATTGTTTCTTTCGCAATCTTTTCAATATTTCTCTTGATTTTTCTAGTTTCTGTTGAAATAAAAGTAACAGGGTAACTAAATGTAGACAACCTTTTACTGAACTCCAATACCGTCATTACTAAGACTGACTACCACATTTAGCATACCGCTTCTGAAGAGTGCTCGATTTGTCGAAGGATATTGTCATCCAACTTAATGTACAGCTCGGGATCATCGATAGCCTGAGCTAATGAAAAGTGATCTTTGGCAGCTATTAACGCATCCGCTATCATTTCATCGACCGCCTCTACTATTATTCGTCGTAAGAGAAGGATTTAAAATAGAATTGTGTAAGACACTAGAAAGACACAGGTATGAACTCTCAATCATTTGTTGATTATCCTTCGCTTTCTGACCAAATTCCGATACTTACCAACCGTATGCGTGTAAACCCTCTTAAACAGATTGTACCTTGCATGAAACATATCGTACAAGTTTTGCCGTTCTTTGCATGGATAGGCTATCTGATAATTCACAACTTTTGAAGACAGCATCAAGCGATCGATATCGTAAACTTGTTTAAACCCGGTGTAATGTGAATCGCGTTGGAGGTAGTCGAATTTGTCAACGTCGACTGAATTACGCTCATTGGCTACTATATCGAATAAGAATGTGCGATCTTTGGAGGGGCTGTAGAACGGGTTGGCACGAAGGAAAGGGATTATCAATCGTTATGTTATGGCGACGTAGTAATTTAAAAACGACAGACGTCAATGCTGTTATATGATATTACGGAGTTCCAATAATCAGCTGGTTGATGACTTTAATATCATCATCGTCCAAAAACTCAAGATCGTTAGCCAAATGGTTTACCATCATCTCGGATGCCTTCTCATGACTCCATTTTTCTCCACCTAGTCTGTTGGAGACAAAGATTTAATATTAATGCGGAGTTGGAGGGAAGTAAAATGAAGATTGGGAACGTTCAAAGAATAGGAATAAATGGACAGTATCGTCCAATTTCGTATAAATTGTAGACCAGCGCATACTTTAGTCTCGGTACGACTATGTTATCAAACACGTGACTGAACGGACCATGACCTATTCGAGGTAGGACGAATATAAATGTCTTTCTTTTCACACCCCTCACCAAGAACATATAATGTTTTCCTTTGTACAGATTCCTTCACAGTACTAAAAAGCATAATGTACACTAACCCAAGTCATGACATAATCCAGCAATAGTGACGCACTTGACCTCCCTATCGGTAATCTTGAGTTCTTTTTGGTCACGTTGGAATCTTGAAATCAATGAATTTGCTAATACTCCTACACCTGAGTATGTAGTAGCGAGAGACCGAAGTTATGTGGGCTGTTTCTGGGAATCTCATGTTCATTCGTTCATTTTATTCATAAACTGCTTCCTTTAACAACCACCAGTCTCTCATTACCTAAACAATGGTCAAATCGTGTGTGTTTAGCGTTTGGAAAGACATATTTTACGGATCCAAGCTGTTTGACGTTGCGCAGTCTTTGAAATTGTGGCGTATCGACTACATCCAGCATCCATGGAGTTAGCTTCATAAGTTTGGAGTCAGTATAGGGATACTAAGTAGGTTAGCATCGAATGACTGGTGGGATGTGTCTTGTTATAAACCCTCTTCTCAACAGGCGAACAATCTGGGTAACTCACATAACTATCCCCTTTTACTGGGTCGCAGAATATCTTGGGGGATTTGTTACGGTAATTCGCACAATTATCCATTTTCACTGTGTCGTAGATTATCTTGGGGGATTCGTTATGGTTTGTAATGGTTGAGATAAAAAATTGTCTGTGGTAGAAAGAGAAGGAAGAATATTTTTCGATATTGTAGTAGAAATAGTGACGAAAAGTAAGTAGTTGTTGGCGTTAACTGGTTTGCTATTTAAATATTTTTGAACGAAATTGTCTATTATATTGTTTATTACTCAACACTTACTCTGATAGTCCTGTTCTAACTTATACTGATTATCCCCTATTACTATCCTCTTTGCTCATCTAACAATGTCCAGTGTTAACCACAACCAAAATTATATATATTGCGTGTTTATATGTCACATGCACCTGACAAATGCTGTTTATTACCATTATTGTAAAACAAAGTCTTTTATTCTAATTTACAGTATAAATTATAATCCTAACAATGTCATGGTAACCGATAAGTAATAATCAAACAAATTAGTTAATCGAAATGGCAAGGTTTATCAATCATGATTATCACCCTTGTGCAAGAAAGGGCAGTTCGCCATCGATTCGCCGAGTTTGGCACGTTCGGAGTTTAGAACGCTAATATTCGATATCAATTTACGCCACATACATTTGACCGACCAATTACAATAAGACATTCTGAAATAGTCTGTAGCACGAAAGTTCTCATGACACGATATTTATTATGTAATGCGAGCATACTGTTACACTTGTTCTGAATAATAAGTTACACATCCCTAAACGTAACATTCCCTAAATGCTCACACTGTGTTTTCCCTACAATCCCCCTACACACTCGCTCCCCCAAGTTCGTAGAACTTCTAATGCACATTGTGCGAATTTACGAAGAGTTCGTGTGTATTGTATTCTTCTTAGAGATGCAAAGGATAAACCAAATACACTGCTCGCACCCTCATGAAACGCATCAAGTCGATCTATCGCTTGGATCTGTGTGGATACTCTTTCCTTATATTATTTTATTGATTAAGGGAGATATCAGTCAGGTATGAAGTAACCTATTACCAGAATACGTTGGCAATATTACGGTTACAGATCTTGTTATTATTATAGAAAGCTCACCATTTGCGATGTCGTTATCAATGGAATCTATGTCCATTGCATACCAATCCTGACAGTAGCTGAGAGACACAATTGTCTGATACAATTTCAGCGATGTGACTACGTCGTCCTGAATCTTTACCTCCATCAACTATGAATCGCAACGCTTGAAGGGTGTTGTAATATCGACCAAGATTTAATTCCAAATCTTTACGATTGGTATGTAATACCAGACCTTTAAAACTCGATGGACCATTTCTTTGGTACCTTCAGCCGTATTATGAAGTGTTGCGAAATTACGAGCATGTTGAGGAAGATGTAAGTTGGCATGAACATCGGAAGATTCTTAAACGTATCAGGAAACATATATATATAATTAAATTAAAATATGGGGGGGGGGGGGTTTGTTTGACGACAGTTTTTTGGTGTTATTTTCACTTTTTACTTTTACATACCTTCACCAAGATATCTCGTTCTTCATTCAGAGTCGATTGTAAAGCATTATAGTCAAGCTCAGTGAAAGAGCGAGAGAACACCATTTTGCAACAACTACCCAACAGTTCATTATATTGTTGATTACTTGACTGTCTCGTTGCAAACTCAATCGCTTTTTAAATTCTCAACGAGTATGGCTTTTTAAATGGGGAGGTGCTAGAAAACATTGTAATATAAACGGTACCAGCATTGCAATGTTTAACACATTGCTGAACGTGAAACTATGTAGATGAGTGGTAACGCTGACCATCTTGTGGGTTTTTCTATGCGCTTCCAATAATATAGCCATTGTTCTTGTCCGCCATTGCTGAATAAATTCATGGTTAGGTCCAGAAGCTTTATCGTCTTTCCAGCCATAGAATGGTATGTGTCTTGGGGTGTTTGTTTGTGACGATATCAACGTATCTAAGGGTCCCGATTTTAGCATAATGCCATGCTCTGTGGACCATCGTTCTCTCTTTTTTTTAATTTCCTGGTTGAATCCAATGTGGTCATACTTAAAATCGATAAGGTGCATCCGCCATACAAGTACGGCACCCATGATTTGCTCCGTGTTTCTTCACCCTTGCAAAACCATCAAGCGACAACCCATTGTTTTGTTGACATAAAAACACCATCTTACGTCATGACAGAATGGTTCCAAAAAGTCCTTAAGATGCCCGCCAAAGGGTACAAAACCGATTAAAAAGTGATTTGGATTTGTTTTCGCATGTTAAACGGCATATTAATATTTCCGAGCTGTAAATATACGCCGTTGAGCTTGTAGAAATGATTGCGATAAGCTCCAAATTCATCATCATACAGGTTTATAAAATTTTTAGAACTGGGAACCCTGGCGGTGCTACAATTGAAGGTACATATTCAGCAGGTAATCGGTGTCTTTGAGGAAGTGGTTGAATTTTCATGAGTTGTGAATTTTATAAATTTATTTCTTCATATTACCGTACAATATCATTCGTTGCCAGATGTTTCTGACGTTTTCCAAATGAGTACGACTAATTTTTAACACGTTTTACGATCTCAGTAGTAAACTGTTCTCTTATTAGTACACGTTTCTTTTTCAGATGGCGGCTGGCAGTTATTTCTCGCCGTTTATTGCCTTTAACTGGGCCATTAAAATATATCTTGTTCAGATCTCACGTAATTCGGCAAATGGTTTCCGCGGAACCATTTTTGAGTAACCGCAATTGCAACCTCTCTTCAAGAAACGATGGCATTTTCATATCCGGTGGAGCCATTATATTCACTATTTTTCATCTACGCTGCAAGATTTTGCTGTTGATTGTTATGTTTGTCAGTCTAATTTTGAGTTTATCTCACTTTCACAGTAATATGTAATTGTGGTACGCAATTTACATACAACATATGAAAAAATCTAAATTTTCGAAAATCTCTACTGACCGTATCTACTAAGCAAAACTGGTTGTATTTTCAGATAAAAGTAATGCTATTTTTAAATATATAATTTTATATTTTATTTGAGACGTTACCAACATTGTAAGTACTCTAATATGGAGTTTCATGATCAATAAATTTCATTCACATTCTATTTTGTCTTGATAGTCTCGTTGCATATGAAATGTTAGAAGATAATCCTCTCAAGAGTTATGAGATGTTAGAGGAAGAATACATGAACACCTATATACAGTGTGTTAAGAAAAAAACGGCGGTTAATAAAAGATGCGTTTTTTTGTAATATAAAAAAATACACGTTATTAATAATAATTGTACTAAAATACGATCGAATTCCATATCCAATGAATAAATTTTTATAAGCGCAATTTTTTGCTTACAAGTACTTTCTTTTGTTTATACTTTTGTAAAGACGGTTAACGCGAAGCTCGAAACCCAATGACAAACAATTAAACATTACTGGCTCAACGGTACCAATTCAAACAAAGTAAAAGAAATACACAAAATAACAAACATTCCCCTTCGTACCGTTGAGGAAACGAACGTAAAACCAAGGTTATACAAACATTGTCTCGTGTTACAAGCGAGTAGCCTCAGGCTAATGCAGTATGTTAAGTTACCAAACGTGGCCATACATCATTAGCGAATCATCGACCTCAGCTGATGCAGTATGTTAAGTTGCCAAACGTGGCCATACATCAGGTAAGATATTTAGCGAATCAGGCCATAGATCAGTATTTTATGCAATGTGAAAAATAATAATAAACGTATTAATGTTATCACGTGATTTACTAGTAATGCACACTCATATATTATCCCTAAATGCACGCTCTCAACTTTTCAGTCCCGAGGGCGTGCATTAGGGAGAGTTGACCGTAGCTTGAAATTAAGCCATTTGTTTGGGTCGTATGACATACAGTCAAATTTTTTATTATTTAGTTGCGTCACAATTAACTAACCTCGCAATAATAAAACGCGAGTATTACAGGGTTTCTAAACGAAAGCAGTGAAGGACCATTCCAACTGAAGTTGGACTTATATTTAAAAAGCCTCAAGCACATTATGAACTCTGAGCAAGGAAAGAGGCGTGAAAAAGCAGAACATCTCTTTAATAAATATTATAAGGAAAGTAAAATTTTTTTGTTGGAAATGTAGTTGAGAAGTGGCGTGGCGGGAATCTCTTAGTTTCTTTGTCACGAAACCAGTGTTGAGGGCACAGGCAATCTTTTAGTTTGGCTGATGCTCAAGTCTCTTAGTCTCTCAGTACTGGTCCCATCGGGGGCACAGGCAATCTCTTAGTTTGGCTGTGTTAAAGTCTCTTAGTCTAGCTGATGGGATGAAAGTCAAATGAAAAATTTTGGACATACTAGTTGAGAATGTTACTAATACTTCGAATTGTCTACTTAGGATGACCCTCAACCTGATTCTCAAGTTGCACGACAATGGCGTAGGTTAGCCAGTGGATCTTCGGTTCATTTCCACCAAATTACGGATAGCTCTGTAATTGGAATTAATAATGGAGTTCTCCATGTAAAGAAAAGAAGTAAAAAGAGGTACAGATGTGCATTTTAGTTAGAACTAATTGCCTTATTATTATAATATGTGCCGAACGGACTGCAATTTTAATTATTTAGGATGATCAGACTAAGCAAAACCAAAAACGGACAAAAGTTATAATGGTGGATGGCGATGAAGATAATAATAAGGCCGAAACGATAGATGATAATAAAGACAAAATCGAAACAACAAGTAAGATCGAAACAGGAGATGACTATGAAGATGAGGTCGAAGCCTTGAATTTGATTTTGATTCAGTTATCAAGAGTTTGCAACAAGAACCATTACACGAAGTATTAAACTTTTGATTTCTTATTGCTTTGTTACTTTTTTTTACTATTGTTTCTGTGAGTCAGTGGGAAGTTGGTGGTATAAACATTACACAAAATTCCGTGAATATCAGCAAGAGGTTCTTGAAACACTTAAAACAACTGATTAACCTGGCATAACACATACAAAGTCCTGTAAGTAACAGCATAGATGAATCCAATATTATGTTTACATAAATGTGCTCACATGCAAATGTCATTTTATATTACACTTTAGGGCACTATCAGCCATAATTGTGCTCTGTAGAAACTGTCCTTATCCAAATTTTAATGACAAAGAGTGGCAGACAATAATTCTAACAAACAAATATACAATCCATGAGCCAGTGATGCCAGCTTCAGTATCAACTGCCTTACATGAAACTGTGATCAAGCATTTGTCAGGCCAGGACAGTTATATGCATGCAGATGAAACTCCATTGAACAGAACAGTTGCACAAACCTTCATTCAGCTAAAGATATTCACAAAGCAACACAGATTCCAATGCATACTATTTATAACAACTTAAAAAAATTGGATAAATTTGGTAGTGTAGACTGCAAAAAAGGAGCTGGTCAACCTAAAAAAATCACTCCTAATGTTGCATGATACATCAGTCAGTGATTCTGCAATTTCCTTGCATTCCATGAAAACTAAATTGGCTTGGAAAGGTGTACAGGTCTCCCACACTACAATTGCAGCACATTTGATAGCCCTCAGGTACAATAAAAAGCTGCCAAAAGCCACCCTGATGTTAACTGAAGCTCACAAACAAAGGCAGGTGGGACTTTGATCTTGCAAAGCGACATTTTGTTTCTATAACCATTAACATCCTGCTGTAATTGTACTATCTGAGCATCTCGATCATTTCAATCATCTTGTTGATTTGTAATATCATCTAAATCCTGGTCTATTCTTTGATAATTAGTCTGAATAGTATCTAAAGTACCATACATACCTTGGACAATATTGGCAGGATTGTTTAATGGTGTACCATGTCCTCTGAAATGGGTTTCAAGTCGATGTAACCCCCAAGTGATATTTACAAAGGGATCTATATGTGCCATATTAATATGAACTCATAATTTCCGCGAGTTTTCGAATAGAGCCTCCACCATTAAAGATAATAATGTGAGTAGCGTTTTCACATATATCTGTAGGAATCTTGTGAAATTTTTGTGCTGTATATATTGAAGAGATATTTTCATGTCGCCCCCTAGTGAAAATGGAATAATTTTTTTCTGTTTAGCTTGGAGATTAGAGTAAAGATCTTCGACTATCATTACTGTACTTCTTTTAGCATTAAACTTTTTTGGATCAGGAATTCTATCAGGAGTCAGTGTAGAAAATGTGACACCTTCATAATATAAATAGGGTTTCGATTTGTCTTGTGCAAGATATTTATAGAAATTTCGAACTATTCCATATTTTGGCTCGTTTAAATGGTGTCCACAAGAACTACATCGTTACATTTAACATTGCGTTCTCTTATTTTAGAACTCCTTTTCTTCTTAAACATGTAATAAAATTTGGGCATTACTAGCTACCTGTATTGCTGGCCCCTGCCATTACGATACGAAAAGGCTGCGTTGGTGCATCTTTATCTCCCTGATATTTTTTTGAGGGTTTAACTTCATCTACATTAAATACACAATAACATTTTTCGTTATAAACTAATATATATAATATATTTTTATTCCAATAACTAGACGTGTGTAGTGTGCCGCCCGATTCCATCGGTCGGCCTTTAGAATTTTACCGTTGGATAAATTTAAGCTAAATGTATTTCCCGACTACTAGTGCGGGAAACTCATTCCAAGAGAAAATGCTGGAATTATATTTGTATTTTGTGTTCAATAAAAGCAAAATTATGCTTTCTCATAATTACATCTTAAGGGGTTTCCAAATAATTCTAATCAGCGTGGGCTATTATTTTTTTTTGTGGATTAAAGTATAGTATTTAAATGCGTTTGAATGATGAAGTTAATGTTTATGATGGTCATTTGTTGTACTCAAATTTAACTTGCACTTAAAACGTAAAAATAACACCAATATTTAAATTAACATGTTATGCTTACACTGCCGCAAAACGATTACTTTAATCTATTCGTGCCATCGGTAAACTGATAAATTGGTGGAAAATGTTAAATTGTAGCACTAGACTTGGCGCTCCAACTAAACCACCTGATTGTTAGAATAGTGCGTTATACCAAATCCAATCAAGCATTGAATCGACATGCCATTGGTCAGTTGTTTGTTTTTTGACCACCACCACGGTTTATTATGTTACCACCAACGAGTACCAAAACTTCACCCGATTAATTAATTCGAAAACAATTACAACACAATCCGTAACGATAGTCAGTCGCTAGAGGTCAACTGGCTGGAGAATAATGGTAAAGAAAAAAAAACCTTTGACAGAAGAATCCCATCAAACTTCTCGAGTTATTAATTCTATGTATTAACTATATTTATTAAATAACAATAGTTAGATAAATTCTGCATGTGTGCTCAATAAAAGACCCGAAATGTCGGAATTTTGCAAGAATAGTCAAAAACTACTCTAGAGTTTTCGATTCTAAACACTTATCTCAACGCAAAAAAGCACAATTGCCTGATTTTTTGAACGATTTACTTGCGAAAATCAATCACATTGTTTATTCATACTACAATCACCAATCATAAATGCTGTGATAGTGAACGCAAAGCATCTTTGGATAATTTGTTATTTGCTTTTTTTATAGGATATTGATGTTGGAAAGATTTGTAATTTAATTTTTCGAGGATAAAAATGAGTGCGGAACGTCAGGTGCCGGTCAGTCAGTCTGCGTATTCATTAGAAATATGTTACGTTTGCGGATTTTGAAACAATTACCTCATAAAAAACAAAACGCATCCATAACCTCTCCAAATTTGGGTCGAACATATTGTTACTAGCTCTTTATGGCAACAAGTTGCTATAATGGCAAGATCAAACATTGCCCTCTGTTTCGTACTAATTTGCTGCATTATTAAATGAGAAGTAGTTTGATAAAAGTCTATTTTTAAATGATCCTATCCTAGCCACAAGACTGAAAGAATTATGCATAGTTTAACCAAAAATAATGTTCTCGGATAAATTTTATCACCACTACCACCACCGCCACCGCCACCACCGCCACCACCGCCACCACCGCCACCACTACTACTGATTTTTGTGCCATTGCTTTTAACTAACTTGGTTTTAATTGTTTGTGCTTAAAGTTAGGAACTTTGTCACAATCTTAATGGGCATATCCTACCTTAGTTTGGCATCATCTGTCGGAGGTATTGAGTTCTCCCAGATCAACATTAATTTGGTTCAGCATTGCGTAATAACCGCAATCTTAATAATCAGAAATTTAGACGGCGATCCCTTAGGATGATCGTTGCTAAGGATACTAATACGTTTTTCGTACTGGCCATCTCTGTAAATCGTGCTCAGCACATGCCTCATGGGCATAATTGATCGACTCATCCCAAATTATCTTACTTCAATAATATTAGTTCATTAATGCGACTGGCAAGTTACTGTGTAGTAATAAGTGCACTTTAATATTAATACATTTCAGTTTTTGGCATTCTATCGTAAATTCGACAAGTATACATTAAATAAATTGGGATATATTGTAAACAACAGCCAAAGGGAAATTATTTCTAACGATGATCAACTACGAGTTTCTATCGTAGTCACTTTTTCTGTAGGTAATTTGACTTTTATTTCCTGCTGTCAAAACTAACTACTATTCAGGTGTTGGTGATAATTCTGGCATTGTTCATTATATGTTTATAGTTACAGTTTGGTACAGTAGTCAAGAATATAGATATATTATAGAGCCCATTTAACTATTTAGAAATATTGCACCGATAATTAAATTATTCTTTTCTGTTATTCCAGCGTCACTTAATCTACACTAGATGCTACTCTAACTTTTGTAAGCTGGCTATCGGTGTCAGATAATACATCCAGAAGAAAGCAAAAAATTTATTATTGTCAAAAAGGACAGGATATAAGAATAAAGCTTTTGACATAAAACGTCTTTAATTTTACGCGAGTATTTCAGTGGCATTTTATAATAACCATAGGATATTTCAATAATACTGTGAACGGTTTCTAAATACACTTGTTTATTCTTAGCATGGAAGTCCCTGTACTGGCTTACCAATACGGACATGATTGTGCTATAGTGATAGACAAAGAAGTCTTTGTCGAGCAACAAGTTTTTGGGATTGTCTGAACTATAATGTATGAGGTTATATACTCTTCTACAAAAAGTCTCTGGAAGCCCTACCGTTATCGTCAGTGTTTACTATACAAGTAACAATAATTTTGGTATTGATTCGATTGTACTTTTTGAAATAAATAATGATAGTTAAAATACGATATTGATGATAACGATCCAGTTCGATAAAGTGACAGTAGAAGAATTATACAATGCGACTTTATTATTTCCGACAAGTACAATCAATCAGCTTCAGAATGATATCAAAACCCTTGTTACTTGCATAGTAAACACGACATCCGTATACCAATAGTAATATTATTTGATCTACAGGGCTTTGGAGATTTGTGTCCCTGAAAATCCCGCCAATAGTGTACGACCTCGTTTAATTTGTGGCGTTAGTACACAATTGTTATCTTATTTATAGTAACGGGCTATTATAATTATAATTATTATGTTCACAATGACTGGTCTTTTTGATCAACCTTTTGTATACATTTCGGGAATATATTTTGTGTCCAAGCGCCCATATCTCATCTTGTCTTTCTCTTCTCTCGCTTGGCCATTATGAGTCGAGCCATATCACCTTCAGCGGAGGATGCTCCGCTATTAACAGAATCCCGTGCACCCAATGACCCAGATTCTACACCACCCATTAACCGTGGCCCCCCTCGAAGAACCCGTACTGCACCGGTGCCAGGACGGGATAAGAAATCTCCGCAGCTTGTATTGCTGTTAACGATGCTTTCGTTGTTCCTACTCGTGTTGACATGTATTTTTGCTGGCCTATATGCAAGAGGAGTATCAAACAAGAGACCTGCACCTATAACCGACCCCAATCCGCTGCCTATTCCCGACAATCCACCTAATGACAATGATAATAGTACCACTGATGTACGTAATTCGGTGTGGGAATAAGACTAATTAGCTAACACATATAATAAAAAAGATTCTTGACATTGTTTTGATTATAACATTAGGCACCTTGCTTGACACGAGACTGTGTGCTTACTGCTGCCAAGATTCTATCGGATATTGATACTTCGGTTGATCCGTGCGAGGACTTTTTCAAATATTCTTGTAAGTAACCCAAATAAAATGCTTCATATGTGGTGGCATGATTGTTTTTTTTTAAAGATTATTCATATGCGTTTAAACATACTAGGCGGTGGATGGATAAAGAAGAATGTTATTCCAGATGACAAGGGCCGATACGGTTATTTTGATAGCTTATATCAGGACAATCAAGTAATAGACTCTTACATTTATATTATAATACGTTATTGTCATTATATTTGTGCATTTTATATCAAGCATGTTACTTATCTCTAGTATCTCTCTTGTCGACACAGAAACTCTTGAAAGATATTCTTGAAAGTGACTACGAAGAAGCAGATGAAATATCAGCACCTAGCCTTCCTCCTCCAGCCAGTGTTATTGACAAACAAAACTTCTACAAACTTCAGTCATTATATCGATCTTGCATGAATGAATCTGTAATTAGCGAACTTGGTGCAGAGCCGTTAAACCCTGTTCTGGCCGAAATAATGAATCGATTCCCAGTTGAACCAGAAGATTCGTTGTTGTATCATCTGAGTGGAAAAGATGGAAAGAATCTCAACAATGTCGATAAACAGAATGGCGGAAATAATGCAAAATTGAACAGCACACAACTGACAGACACACTCGCTTACCTTGCCGGGATTGGTGTTTCTCCGTTGCTGACCTTTGCAATTGAAACTGATTCCAAGAATCCAGAGGCAAATGTGGTGGTGTTGTATCAAAGTGGATTGGGTTTACCATCAAAGGAATACTACCTAGAGAAAGAAATCCTAGACGTTTATAAGAAAATTGTGGCAGAGTTACTTGACAAGACGTTGCGTGGTCAAGATGATTTTACTACCAATGAGGAGGACGCAAGTAATCCTGTAGACATCGTCGGAGAAGCTATTGAAAAAGATTTGGAAGAATATTGGACGAATTTATGGGCGGATTCGGCAGGAAAAATTGTTGATTTTGAGGCTGCTTTGGCAAAAATCTCGTTACCACTGTAAGTCGTTTTTGTCGTATGAATATATTCACTGTCGATTCGTTCGCAGTTATCAGTAATAGAAATCTGTGATGTGTTGACAATGTACCTGTTATACCGTATTAATATGATACATAAACCAATAGAACACGACTAATCAAATATATTTTTATAGCGAGGTGTTTAACGATCCAGAAGCGATATACAATCCGCAAACTTTCTCGGAACTCAATCAACTCAGCACTGCAATTCAATGGGTAGATTTTATTAAGGCACTTGCTCCCCAGTCGTCCAAACTTCCTTCAAAGGTTATAGTCACATCAATTGAGTATATAAAGAATCTTGACGAACTTATAAGGAATACACCAACAGAGGTTCTTCAGGTGTATTTCATTTGGCAGACAATTTCAAGTTATGGTGAATACTTGGATGAAAACTTCAGAGAGCCATTGAGAAGGTTGCAAGCTGTCCTGAAGGGTATAGATAGCAGTGTGAAGCCCAAGAGATGGGAAGTTTGTTTGAGGGAAGTGGACAAGGGTATGGGCCAGTTGGCAGGGAGATACTTTATCTTGAAAGCCTTTTCTGGTAAGTACGCGAAAACGATAATGCTGTGCATATAGTAGTCCTATTGACCGATTGGACGTTGTATGACCTTTCGCATGTTTCCTACGAATTTGACTGTTCAATAATGTTCGAATATCTGTTAATTAACGTATTTGCTGTGATTCATCAGGTGATAGCAAACCAATGGCAGATTCTATTATCACGGCCATAAAAAATGCATTCAATAACCGCCTTCCCGATCTCGATTGGCTTGATGACGAAACGCGCAAACTGGCCGTTGAAAAGGTCGAATACATATACCAAAAAGTTGGCTTTCCAACCTCAACACCTGACGCTAGGTCGCCTCAATCATTAGCCGAATATTATGAAAAAATAGTGATAGATGAGCAAAAATATTTCGCAAACATTCTGAGTGCTGCCAAGTGGAAAGTTTATAATGATTGGAAGGAACTAGGGAAACCTGTTGATCGTGGTGTGTGGTTCATGACTCCACAAACAGTCAACGCATATTATGTAAGAATTATTATTATTGCTTGTCAGCATGCTGATTACAAGACTGAGTTATACGCTTGTATTAATATCACTCGATGGTTATTTTAGAACCCGACAGCCAACGAAATTGTCTTCCCAGCTGGTAAGATGATTGTTGTGTGATGTTGACATTTTTAAGAACTTGTCACAAATATTATTTTCCGCCTTTAGGTATTCTCCAACAACCTTTCTTCCATGCCAAGGATCCTGAATACGTGAACTTTGGAGGCATAGGCATGGTTGTCGGCCATGAGCTTACGGTATGGTGTTTATACTTAATTACTGCATGTTCTACTGATGCGTATTGTGTTATTCAGAAACATTAGCTGAATTGTTCTATTTCTGCAGCATGGATTTGACAATGCGGGGAGAATGTTTGATAAATATGGGAAGTTGACACAGGTAGGGAGGAGAAAGTCTGTTATGTAGATGTCAATCAGATAACAAATTGTTAACCCATGGTGAACAACTATATATTGCAGTGGTGGTCGAATGCTACGATTGAAGCGTTCGAGAACAAAGCTAAATGCTTCATTGAGCAATATTCAAATTACACAGTTATTGGACCAAATGGTGAACCCACACATTTGAACGGTAACTTGACGCTGGGCGAAAATCTAGCAGATAATGGAGGGTAAGTTGCAATTGGCGAGCTACATTTATGCCATAATTCAATCTGTTCGACTTTAACATATTAAATATAATCCACGTTCATCAGGATAAGGGCAGCATATAGTGCTTGGAGTACCAGATTGAATGATGATCCAGATCAGAAGAAGTACCAGAATCAGGTGCTTCCCGGCCTGCAGGATTTCTCTAGAGAACAACTTTTCTACATATCCTTTGCACGTTCATGGTGTTCGAAAACGCGCCCCGAGACTGCTGTGGAAAGAGTAAGTTAATAGATTCATGGTTATTTATTTTCTATATACCTTTGTTAACGCTGTTTCTTATCTCAGGTGAGGACCGATCCCCATTCACCTGCGGAATGGCGCGTGAACGGCGTCATTCAAAATACGCCTCATTTTTCGGAGGTGTTCAAATGTAAAAAGAACTCAAGAATGAATCCAGAAAAGAAGTGCTATCTGTGGTAATAATATACGTAATTGGATTATTTATTAGATCTTATTGTAGGGGTAGCGGGAATTTTTAAAAGCCAAGAAATAAATTTTATTATAAATAGTTTAAATGTAAGTTTCCTAATACTTTCCCCGTAATTGTGAATTCCATACTTTAAGCAGTTTGCTCCATTTGTAATTGATGTTGAGACATTGCGCTAGTATCTTTCTTAAGCATCTCTCTCAGGGCCATTGTAGCATACTGGCTGGTTAATAAGTTAAAACTGAGCTTTAAAGCCACGTATTTTCCGTTCGGGATTGATGTAGGCTCTAGTTTGCCCTCGAGTTTGTCAAGGTCTGTTAGAATTAGAGCTATACTGGGATCATCGTAACGGAAAGTAGTCCATGTTAGATCTTGTGGTTTTCCTAGAAATTTTCTGTATGAGCCTGGCAGCGAGTAGTCTCTGGAGGGACAAAGAATTTTTGTGAGCCATAGCCAAGGTTGTCATGCAGCAAATATTTTTAGGAACCGCACGTACCTCACGCTCCTTATCATATTATTCGCGTCCAATTTGTCTCTACCCATAAGTTCGACATACTTTTCACCTAATACATTCTCTGGATAAATGATAAGATGACCTGGTAACGGGAGCACCACATCATCTATCGTAAAATTGCAGATGTTTTGTTCATTTACAACGACAACGTTTGGTTCCTTATACTGTTTACAAATTTTAAGCAAAAAAAAATTGTTAGAATAGTTTGAGCCATCACAAGAAACTTGTATGAACGCCGGGGAAAATTTAATACCAAATACCATAACTTACGCCTCCTTCCGTCTCAGTACCTGCATCATTAATGATGCTATCAGTATCAATGACATCTCCAGCCACTTCATCACCGACTAGGACAAGATCTCCAACAACTGGTGCGTCACAACCATAAAGTCTCCTTCGTTCGGAAGCTATGCAATTCCATATGTAAGACTGGTAAGCATGAACGTACATGAGACGAAGATTGCGTGGTATCTAGACATGGTTACGTTGAAATAATGTCAAATTTAACGTTGTTTCAAACAATATATGCATTTTCATACGTACAGCATTTAAGCCTCCAACGTAGTCCCTAAGATCACCCGTTTGGGCAAACTTGTTTAATATCTGTCTTTCGGCAACGCAACGCTTGGGAAACAGAGTATAGGCTTCGTTTGCGTCCTGGTTTGCAATCCAATGCTCTCTAGCTTTTCGCAAATCTTCGTGTTCTATAGTAAAAGTAATAGATACATCGGGTTTTAACATTGAGTAACAGCATGTGATAAAGAGATTTCTCCGACAAAACCTGACCTCCATCACGGGGTTTCATAATGAGTTCGACGGCGGCTTTCCAGTTGTTTTGTAATAACGCACAGCCTATTCGGTGAGTCGGTATGGAACTGGTACCGAACCTTTGCATACCTGATTTTTTTTTTTTTTTCGGGTTAATATCGGATGACTAGAATCAGCAACGAGTTTAGATTAAATCTGTTGGTTTGGGCTTACCAAAGTAATTTATAAATCCATGACTTTTTAATGATGCAAGTATATCGGAGAGCAAATCTTCAGAACTTATTTGGACGTGTCTGGAAAAAAACACAACACACATCGTGAATTCAGGAGAGACATGGACCTGTGTATTTCGGTCATTTTGACATGTTTACCTTAATATAATATCAAAGCGGTTACCACACAAATCACCAAGTTTTAACGGGGAATCGACGTATCTGATAGCATCCGGGGAAAAAAAAGTAGGTATATGTTATAAGATGGTAAACATGCGTAGAATGTTAGACATGCGTAAAATGGTATGTAGTATCCGAATCAACATACTCAAAGTTCCCTAATGTTATTACTTTAAACCGTTTGTTAAGTCCAGCTAATCTTTCGGCCGTGATTTTCGAACCTCTCACTCTTTGAGTAGTGACCGCTCTGAGATCCTTTGTTCCAGCATATGACATGAGTTTAGAATTTGCTCTGTATAAGGACAACTGATTAGTGAAATCATCGCCATTGGATGGGAAACGTTCATATATTGAACAATAAATACGCAACTTCATAATTCGGCAAATGGTATTTATGGCCTCCATCGTATCATGGCATTGTTTATAAAGTACAAATTGACAGAACCATTGACTTGGCTTTTGTCCACTATGAAATCTATTCCTTCTGTCTACAATCACAAGAGGTCTTGTCAAAGAATGAACATATAAAACTATCAATAACGCATAAATTACCTTTTCTGGATTTTGGTGTGTGTTTGCCTATTTTAATGGCTCCATCTAATGTCTCGCTGTACAATTTTTTGCCAAAGTGTTCTCTTATAAACATATGGATAGAAGTGCGTTTGTTCTTATCATCAATAGACTACCTCGGATCGATTAGTATCAGTGAATCGTGTATAACAAACAATTCATCAAAACCAGTTTCAAACCTCACCTTGGTAACAACATTGGTTTTTTCACCCTGACTGGAGATCAGCTCTTTGATACTTACGGCCGTCTCTTCATCAGTCAGAGCTTTTAATTGTTCGTAAATAGCATCTTCGGGAATAGACTATGTGTAAAGAAATCAGTTTCATCTCACAGGATCATTGAAATAATATAAACTCTCGACTCACAGATTCAGCAGGGCTTGAGCTTGTATTATCTAGTGTTGATTGATCGTCTCTCTTCGGTATACTAGTACAATCGGTAAGATAAACTACACCACCTTGTTGATCTATTTCATGGACAATGAAATCTGCATATCTTGAGAACACATTGTCAATAAATACCCAATGATTTATAAAAATACTAATCAAATATCCAAGGACTACCTTTGTTTGATCACGGCAGAAAATCCTGGCAACGATTGACTTACGTATTCCGTAATTCCTACATCCTCCTCTATTGTCCACATCCGTTTCTCTCTGCTTTCGCTGGTACTTTCCATGACAACTGATGTATTTACACTTTCGCCTGAATCCAGGCGGAGTTTCTTGGTGGGGAGATCAGCCTCTGTCATTAGAAAGAACTTGCAATTTATTTTTTTTGAAATGGATTGCTTTTCAAAATTCAAAAAGTGATATTCTTATTATTAGTGTGGGGTGTCACAAGGTTCAAACCTAAATTTTTATTCCCGTTATTTCAAATATCATACATTTAAGAAGGTATCCGATCCGAAATAAAAACCATCTTTGGCTTGTCTTTTTACTTTGCAGTTCAGGGTTGACCTATTCGATTATATCTTCTTCCAATCTTCAGGCTAGCGTTTCCAGTATCATTAGGTATTTTATTATTAATGATCGACGATGATGTCTCCATAAAAGTCACCAAGTCTTCAAATTCTGGTTTTTCCAGTTTTTTATACAGGAGTATTACTCAGTCCAAAATGCAGTATAATATTGCGTAATTATTTTGCTGTTAATGACATTGTCAAGTGTGAATATTGGCTACGATTAACCGACAGAGTACATTTGCTATTCGTTTATGCAGGATGGTGTCTGACTTCTTTTATCCGAATATGGGCGGAGTGGAGAGTCATCTCTATCAATTGTCTCAGAGACTAATTCAACGAGGTCACAAGGTAAATATCAAAACTTTCAATATAGAATTGCATGTATTGAAATGATTAACATTCAAATCTGTAACGTATCAGGTCATAATTATAACACATTCGTATGGCAACCGCACAGGTGTCCGATATCTTACCAACGGATTAAAAGTATACTATGTACCAATTATGGTTGTCTACTCGGAAGCTACTCTTCCAACTATTTATGGATTCTTTCCAATTTTCCGGAATATAGTAATACGTGAGGAGATAAACATCGTACACGGACATCAAGCCTTTTCGTCATTATGCCATGAAGCAATTTTGCATGCAAGGACAATGGGAATGAAGGCGTGCTTTACAGACCATAGTCTATTTGGCTTTGCCGATGCTAGCAGTATCTTAACAAACAAGTTGTTGAAATGGACATTGAGTGACATAGACCACGTTATTTGTGTGAGTCATACAAGGTATGGAGTACTAGAGATACGATATTGCATCAGACTTGTATAACAAGTGTCAATTTTCATCAAGTAAAGAAAATACAGTCCTGAGAGCAGCACTAAACCCACAAATGGTGTCAGTTATACCGAATGCTGTTGTAGCATCTCAATTTAAACCCGATCCGGCGGCACAAGATCAGAATTTCAGTATGTAGTTATGCATTTTACTTCATTTTTAATCACTAATCTTTTATGAATAAATCTTATTATTCATTATACTAAGTACACTCTCTATGTAACTTTTTATATTGCAGTTACAATAGTGGTTGCTAGCCGTTTAGTTTACAGAAAGGGCATGGATCTATTGGTTGCTGCAATCCCAAGAATCTGTCACGAAAATCCTAAAGTCCGTTTTATTATCGGTAAGTAAATTTCCAATTAATTTTTTTGCGTCTTGGTCGCAACCTATTAGCTTTTAACAGATTTATCTTAACAAAGGTGGCGATGGACCAAAAAGGATTGACCTGGAGCAAATGAGAGAAAAGTATTTGTTACATGACAGAGTAGAACTTCTTGGGACTGTTATGCAGCACGAAGTGAGAAATGTAAGCATACCTTTTGAATATGAGTTTAGCTATATCAATATACACACGTCTTTATTAACTTGTAATTAGGTATTGACAAAGGGCCACATATTCCTGAATACCAGTTTGACTGAAGCCTTTTGCATCGGTATAGTGGAGGCTGCATGCTGCGGGTCTGTATACATTATAACTGTACCAACATTCTCCACATGCCGTTAATTAAGTACTATTCCTATACGTTTGTAGGCTGTTGGTAGTAAGTACAAAGGTAGGAGGAGTTCCAGAGGTGTTGCCTAGGCATATGGTTATATTTGCAAAGCCTGAAGAAGATGGTTAGTGAAGGATGTATATAAATTTTCTTACCATGGATATAGTTATTCCCACGTTAATTATGATTATTGTTTTTACAGATTTAGTAAAATCAGTGGCAAATGCTATTTCAATGATCAAATTGAAGAAAGTTATCCCCGCAAAATTTCATGATGAGATCAAAGAAATGTATAGTTGGGTAAATGTTGCAGAGAGGACGGAGAAGGTATGGCATGAATTATCAATACTTATGTTAGTGACAAAGTAGCAAAGAACACAAGGAGGGTTTTTTTACAGCATTAAATTTAACCAAGTTTGATGCATTGTCTATAATAGGTTTATAATACAATATGGAAAATGAAAAATCCTCCGCTGATTGAGAGATTGAGAAGATATTATGGTTGCGGTGTATGGGCCGGGAAACTGTTCTGCATTCTCATAGCTTTGGATTACCTCATTTGGAAATTTTTGGAATGGGTTGCTCCTCGCGAAAGTATTGAAATTGCTCCTGCATTCTCATACAAGAAATACAGAAAGGTATGCTGTTTCAACAAAAAAACCAACCATTTTTGATGTCACATGATTATACCAAGTACTTTGCTAATAGGCAACTGCTGTAAATTCTATAGATGTGTCAAATGGCTGATAAAGATGTTGATGATTCATGATAATCTATAACCATAAACTCTTATTCGAGCATGCTGTAGACAGACGCGCTAATAGAATGTCATACCTATCTTAATACATTTCTGCTAAGAGCGGCTACATGACTTTTTTTTTTAATAACGATTTAATCGGTGGGGAATCTGGGGGTTCTAAATGATAATGACATAGAAGGATGATTGATAACTTTTATAATTTGTTTATCTGCTTGACACCTTTGTCTTTTGCAGAATAAAAGCAGATAGTAATAGTAGAATTTGAAAACTTCCGATATTTGTGTAACATCTAATAATAGAATGCTATAATAGTGAAGATTGTAATAAAATCTATATTGAGGAATGCTTTATAAAATCAAATCCAACTCACATATTCATTATAATCACAATAGGTGTCATGGAAACATCTAGATATATGGGATATCCTCAGACAGCAATTTTTCTTTCACAACTGGGCTTTGTATTTCTCATTGTCTATTCTTCACATGGTATACCGTATTTCGACAGCGGTGAAACGTAAATGTACTTGATTGTCGCGTCAGATAGGTCGCGAAACAAGCGAAAAATATGATCACGTGATTTAATTACTAGCAATATGGTGATAGATTCCCAAAATTAGGTAAAAAAGCTCGCTTACATGCCTACTGTTTGATTCGAATAAATCAATTTAATACTTTTTTTTGCTGCAATCAATGATCATGTTCTCTGAATTCCTTAATCACGATCTAGTACTTTGTCCAATAGCAATTTCCGCCTCACTATTTTTGAGACTTGTCTCTATCACTTTAGTGAGTTTATGCCGATAACCACACGTCACTTCTGAAATCTTCAACGCATATCTGAGTTCAGTCACTGCTTTCTCCAATTGGTTCATATACAAGAGTATTTTGGCAACCCTGTAAATTTGTACTGCAGTATCAGGGTGATATTCAGGGTATACGACGTGATATGCTCTCTCCAGACACTCTGCATGTTGTAATGCTTCATCCCATTTATGAAGTTTACTGCTGCAGTCAAATAGGGCTCTGTGGGTCATTACTAACTCATGATTCGCATAATACAATAGCGATTGTTGAATAAGAAATGCCTGATGAAGATAGGTCAGAGCATTTTCAGGTTCTGCAAATTATTCAAGAAGACTTTAGCCAGAAAACTGGTTAGATAAAGTGTTTTAATATAATTACCTGATGTAGATAACTCGGATCCTTTTTTAAATAATGACCGCGCTTTCTTCAAGTTATCATCCAATACTGCTACGTCAAACGTTGATATCTTCCCACACTTACAACAGACGGCATACTCTTCATCCTTGTCAGAAGAACCTAAACATTATCAAATAAGCATTACTGGAACTTATGAAAATATTCGATAAACATCTTGCATACTAACTAGGCTGATCAACAGGATTATCGCAACTAGTGTTAGAACACCGTAGAGCACTTCTTGGATCCACTTCAGAGACCGACTATTAAATTAAACGAAAATCTGTTAAGGAAGTAATCGAGGGTGTCAATTTCATTCCCAAACTTACTTTATACTTTTCACACAGTTCACATCGACACGTAAAAAAATATCTCTCATACAACTCTTTTCGGCGCTCCTCACCAGTAAAGAATAAGTCTGTATATGAAATTGTGATCTATTATATACAAAGATCAGTATTAATTCTTTAATTTATAATTTATTCTGCCGCATGGTTTTCGAATGCCACGTACTTCTTCACCAATTTCTATTTTTCTGATTGGTCGAACATTCAATTTCAATCCTTCAAAAATTACAACACAGTTTGGCCAGCAAGAATGATTCAACAGGGATACATTGGGATATATCCCAACTCCAGTAGACTGCATCTCTGCATCCAATACACTAAAGCCATTCGACGTCAACTGAAAGGTGTGTGTGAATCAGTCGTTTTGCATGATATAAACAAGGAATTCGCATGTTCAAAAAAAAAGATAACCTTTTTAACAACTCACTTGGCAAAAAAGAGTCAGCATATCTGCTGCAGGAATCAGTTCATCTTTTCCAACACATTCTTTAACAACCATAGCCAACTGGGCAAAGGTTTCCATCTGAGATTGTTGAAATTTAGAGTAATCTATTGGCAGACGGTTTTCCAATATCAATAATGAATTGGGTCGATGATAGAGTTGACAAGAAAATAGAACATAAAATGTTTAACTGCTTTCCAAGTTCTCAATCTGCTTAAACTGATAATTGAAAGGTATCATTAGTAGTCTGATATTCGAAAATTACATGGTATCGGGCTGAACATACCAAAGTCACATCTACTCTTCTTTTCCTCAAGATCCTTGATGCTAAGCGAATAAACGTTGGAGGATTTCTTTGAACCTTTACAGTTGCTTTACATTCCTCTTGATGGTTTTGCCAATCATCAACCTGACATTGCTAGAAGAATACATGTTATAAAAGTCGCGGGGAAAAGGTTTCAGAGCCAGCCAGTTAGCCGTCTTTTTGATCAAATGCATTTGATGATACCTTGGAGCAATAGTGAACCAAACTACATTTAGAGCATCTGAACATCCTTTTGTCATTCACAAAGCATGAACTGCATGCTTTAGAGATATTCTGATCATCTACTACCGCTGAAAACGGTAACTCTTGCCAAATACTAGTTCCTATAAAAAACAATCTTTTAACATTTGTAGGCACAATCCAATGCTTAATGAACGTAAAACCTACCCCGTTGAATAGTCTCGAGAGCATAAATGCCTCTACCTTTATGCTCTGTTTTTTTAATGCAAACTTTCTTTAGAGCTCCTTTAGGTTCATCCAATATTATCTCCGCCTCAGCTTGCTTTGATTGTGACTTATTATCTTCAAACTCTTTTGTTGACCGATTTTCCATATTTGGCCTTATATTGGAATCCGCTAAAGAATATGACTACACTTAAAAAGCGTTACAATCTTCGGTAACAAGACGAGTACTAGAAATTAGAGAACATTTTCTATCTTAAGTGTGCTCGGTAAATCCCCAGCCCGCGCAGTTTTTTTATTGAACACTAGAGAAATGAATTGACAAATTACAAACTATTTTGGCAAATGATCAAGCTATTTAGCAAGAAGGCGCTTTCTTGGAATAGTGAGCGATTTACTCAGCGTAGACGTTCGACGGAACAAGGAGATTGATCTTCCTGATCATGTTGGATAATCGAAGTTATTTGGGAATTGTTCAACTTAAAAGTCTAATTTTACGGCAATTTTTTATTACGTCTTATTAAGTTCTGAAGATAAACTATCAATGTCCTTCCGAACACTGATGACCATATATGGATTGCAATGAGCCATGAAATAAAGATGAGAGAAATAAAGTACAGAATATATGTGTATCTTACACCATAGAGTAAAGAATAAATAGTCATTAACAGAAGCATGCTACTAGTGACAGCTCGAGACCTATAGTAAACAAATATGGGACGACAGTCAGTTAGTGAATGCTCTTAATACGCGCAAAGTATGTAAATAGTTTTAATCCAAATTCCTAATAACCGCCATTCAATCAACAATAAACTCAAACTCTTTTTACCTGCCAGATGTCCTCGGTAACATTTTCCCACTATTCATTATTTCCACATAGAATATTATTGGTGCTATTGCTAAGATGCTATGATCCGATGAGAATGGTGCATACCAATGTACTGCCAAATTCCTACTCCACACCATTAACGCCGGGACATTAAAAGGAAGCAGAATGAACAAAAATATAAGCACTGATTGAACGTAATGATAATGATCCCAATGTTTCTGCAGGTCAGCACCCTTTCCCTGTGAAAAGAAAACTGTGTTAGCACCATTTATAAACCCGGAAAAGCAGAACAGGAAATCGGATACTATGACGTTGACCATCAACTATCTCTACTTACAGCTGACCATGCATTCATCAATGATCGTATGCATGATACTGTATGCACTACGAATGCTGCTACGAACGCAAGTTGATATGGTATGAACGCTGCAACGAGCACAAACACGAAGATGGTAGCTATAGTCCTCCGACGCATACCAGCCATCTTAGATTCTTGTTGCCTATAATACAAATAACCGTTAAAACAGCGAACGCTAATAATCAATACGAGTCAACTGTGGATAATTCTATTTCTTTTCTCGACCACCACCAATAAGAGTTGATCTCTCGCATCTTAAAACGCTTACCTATTTACAACGCGAGCCAATGAGAATCCTCTCCAGTTGATAGCAATTATCATTCTAGTCAATAGTCTGACCAACAACGACAGAAATATCCAACACACAGATGTAACCCCAACGCTCAGGATGAGAAAAAGCGGATGTAAAAACCAAAAAAATGGATCATGATTGCCAAGAAGGGTGTCATTAACATTAAAGGATGCCTTTTCTTTTATAGCCTTATGTACATCTCCGGGCGTAGACTCGACTGGGAATAAGTCTGCTAACGAATACGTTTTAGATGCTCCGCTTATGGATTGGTATATCGATAAGAGCGACACAAACACGAGTAACTTGGGCAATGTTCTTTGAACGAACTGTGCAAGTCCTTGTCCAAAGCTCATATACGATCCTATGAAAAATCAACAATATTTATAGTATTGATAAAAAATTAATGGCAGTATTCGAATACGATATCAGCATGTACAGTATTAAACAGTTCATAAATCCACGCGTGACACACGTCAAATAAAACCAATCGGAATGTAATCCCTCTCGACAATACATACCACCTTTCTGATATTCTTTCAATTGGATCCTCAAAGTCATTACCACAACCATGAAGGGAAACGCCACCAAAACGGACTGAAATCTCATTACGATCTTTCCTAAACTTCCGTATGCATCCAGTCTGATGTCTATTGATAAAGGCGCTGAACATGTTGGGTCTATCCAAAATTGTAGACTGAGACCTTTCCGCAGTTTCGGGCTGCTGACTGGAAGGACAAATGGCGCCTGTCCATGGATATTGATATCAACATTTTGGGCATTGACCAAGAACTTGGATTCATGCATCGATGATATCGATTGGCGAATGAGTGTAGCAAAGAACCGATCGTCTAGAGGACAAGTCGATTAGTGCCTGGTAAAGGATGAATATTGAACGATATTTATATCTTACCATCACAGCCAGGACGATTCACAAACATCTTGTATGTCAAAAGGCTATTATCAATTATTGGTACGTGCAGAGTAGACACGATGGAATCAGTCATTGGGAGTCCGGGAACATGTATGCCATAAAGCAGGAGATCTAAATCAAAATTATAATTGAATAACGATTAAGCTGGTAACAAGTCTAATAACATTAACGACAACTAATACAAAAGTCGCCGGTGAATGAAACGATAAAAACGATGAAATTCTATTTATATCAGAAAACTGCACACCTTTCATTGACGTGTCAATCCGCGTGACGGTCTTACTTTCATCAATAAATTCGGCTAGTAGAAAACCATCAAGTCCCACACCTTCTTTATTCATTATAGCAACATACTGATAGTCTCCCAACTCTTGCACATTCAATTTCAGAAAACTGAAAGTGCGTCTAGATGAAGGAATTCTATCGTATTTTGTTGATGCAGGCATTAGGGATGCTTTATGAGATGCATTGTAACACGACAACCTTGGAGCGCTAAGGAACGTTGCCTTCTCCGTCGTCGCATCGTGCACGTCACGTAATTTGCTAGGTATGACTCCACATAACAAGACTAGCAAACGTGAAGATTTCCCGAGATGCTGATCGGTAAGCAGAGAGAATGTTGTCAAATTAGATAGAGGAGTTGGTGGTGGAATTGGCATAAGGTACACTTTGTTTGAGATGTGCGATGTCCTGAGTACTAATCTCTGCTCCATATGAAGATATACATGAGGTTTCTCTTCTAGATCCAACACTCCGAAAGATTCTATAAAATAAGTCATGAGGTATGGAACGGTAAAATTATTAATAACAACGCCAAGGTGGTTGACATCAAGCTCACAACTATGTGAAAAAAGCTTCTTATTCTTATGCAGCAACCAATGTAATCCTAGATGCTTACCCCATTGATCCCGTTCAGTCTCCAGCCGATCTTCAAGACCAGTCAAGAGTGCCTTACGAAATATTTTCATACGTTCCGCTCTTGGCTTTGTCTGACCTGCACGCCTTACATCGACTATATTCAACATTGTCTTTGCAATAACGTTAACTAATTGCTTGCACCATAAAATACATTGATGATCCATTGACGTCCACACACTCGGTATTGATGTGGTGAATACAGTGAATCCATGTGATGCTGGGACAAGAGAGTTAATATTGGCTGTATCTGAGCAGATGATAGTATCTAGATTGCCACCGGCTATGGAAATAAGCGTGACATCCGACAATGGAGCCGAGGACGCTTTGCCATTGGAATAGCTTTTCCGCCAGTATTCGTTAATGTTTGTATAAATTTTGCTTATTTGCCAATCAAGCGGCGCAGGTGGAAGCAGGTGGGGAGTTGCCATAGTGATAATTGTGTTTATGGAACCAGGTTCATAATTAGGCATAGTAAATAATGTCCGGGCAACTATTCCACCCATCGAATGAGCAATAATAATTACGGAAGATGGTTCCGGATGATCTCCGCGTGCAGCTGGATACAATGAAAGTATGTATCGAATAGCATCATTGAGATACTCTGCCTGTTCAAGCAATGAATTTCCATGAAGTGCAGAGAATTCCTCATTGAAATCAACTATATACAAAAAAGAAGAGTTATTTAATTGCAAATTAACACTATTACAGAAACAGAATAGGCATGACGCTCTCACCGCTTCTTACTTATTTCCAATACCTGTGAAAAAATCTAATCCTCTCATACTATCGTCCCATTCTGATAGTCCGCTATAATACAAGTTGGCTGCAGCAGATGCGATTGATCTTACTTGCTTGTAGCTTCCAGCATTCCCGGGGATAAACAGAGTAGGTATACCGGTTGGTCTATCGCTGTTGTCTTTTCCAGCTTCTCTATACAAATATAATCCATATTTCTCAGCAAATATAGTCTGTTCACTATCAAATCCCACCATCTTAATATATCTGGGATTCATGTATGTAACTTCGCAGCCCTTTGTATCTCTTTGATAATTTATGAATGAGTCAAAAATGAGCCCAGACATAATCATAGTAATTAATAGTATTAAGATTATTGAGAATGACAAGGATATTGATGCAGATGTATTGAGTAGTGAAGATAAATGCGAGGGCGATTTATTTCCGTGTGATTCGGAAAGTGAATTGGAATCGGGAGTGGAGCTTGAGTTCGATTGCGGGTTAATTAAATTGGTAGATAATAAAGGTGCCTCTTCATTGGAAATGGGCGATGTAGGTGACGGTGTGCGCTCTCTAGTCTGTTGTCCATTTGAGCCGCCGATACTTGACGTAAAGATATCAAATGTTCTCGTGTCATAGTATTGCGGTGTGATTTGAAGTGTTTCGCATTGTTCTGATTCATGTATACCCATTTACTGAAATATGTGAAGGAGTTAATGGGCGAATGGATAAGGGGATGAATGGGATGATTGAACGAGAGTGAAACAGATCTAGAGTTATCTCTTGCAGTTCAATTGATGCATTTTATTGTATGGGTAACGATTATTTGTACTAACTGTTCTAATTATCTCTGAATCGACGCGAAGCAGTCATTCCGTTGTCAGTGTAAACCAGTGTTGAATTATTCTCTCTAGAGTCATTCATCTCGACTAACCTTGTAATTTCTATGTGCCTTCGGTATGCCTCTTAAATGTCTTCCAGATTACGACCAGTGTTCTGAGGGGCGGGCAGACTAAGAGAGCGAAAGCACTCTATTCGAGTATGGCAGAAAGGTATGTTGGAACTAAATGTAACAGCTTGGATGGTCACACATTAGTATTAATATTAGGATCACAAAAACCAAATCAGCGACAGAAAAATAGTTGTAGGTATGACATGCCTTTTCAGCAGGTGATTATTGCATCTTGTCACTCGGAAAGCGGAGAAACCGAAGCACCGGACGTCACATTATTTCGAATACCAAGCAGAGAAAATATTACGGGCGACACGGTCCGGTTTACTATTACTATTACTATTACTATTACTATTACTATTATAATTACGACATTTTAGTTTCCGTCTACCGTCATTTGGTGACTATTCTGATGAAAAGAATGACAAATTGCCGGAATTTTTTCCCCGCACATTTCCTTTCTCTTGGCTTTTTCTTTTTTTATGAAAACAATTAAGATGCTATGAGATTACTTTTCCTTTTATTTATTGTGGCATTGTTCGAGAATGTCAATTATTGACTTGTACAATTCGTTTACATCACATCATTGTACTTCCAGTGTGATAACTCGCATTCCTCCAAATGCGTCGTTTCCATAGTTAATAGCGTTATTGTTATTATTGTTATATTAACGGTATAGCCTATTATGAACTCCTTATAGTGACATGCCAATTGGCAGACGGCAGATGATCGACAAAACCACATGCTTGCCAAACAGATTAAGATTACTTGATATTGATTATCTCAGCGTTCACACAAATTATCGCAGCCAATATTGTCTATTCCACGTGATACTGGAATGCATACTCACGATAGCATGTCGATAAGCATGACATCAGCCGTACTAAACTAAACTAAACTAAACCCCAACTAATTAACAAGCGAAATGGCCTAAATTGCTTGGAAATATTTGCTCTCTCGTATATCGTATCACGACGCCAAACACAAGTTTTTGTTTCGTTGTCACAAGTGATTTCAAATTCTTTTTGCATAATTTAATTTTGTCATATTCTTCTAAGCCAATGTTGCACAGACTTGTAGCATATTTCTGCTAGCATAAGATAAGACTAACTAAATCGACTCGGTTACGTACGTGACATCTATCAAGCCAGGAAATTTTTCTACTGATGGTATCAATGACATCTTGATTTTCGTTGGAGCATCCCACCATGTATTCAGGAAAGAAGGTTAACATTTTTGAAGCAAATGCCAGACGATTTTGTTTTGGTAAAAACACTTTTAGGTTGACCGAATTGCAACCTAACCCAATTCGAAATCAGGTCAACCCAGTTTAAAATAAGCATATTAATATTTATTTTCTAAAACGATATTTGGCAAAACTGTCGATGAACAATTGTGTCCTACCTATTTAATAAAATCCATTGTTGAAGGGTGTGTTGTGTCGATGAGTATTAATTAGCCGTTAATAATACTCATATTAAATAAAACAATACGATCAAAGTAGTGGAAACGATCATCATATTAAAGCAGGTGAGAACAAATAAAATAGGTTTATTAATATGAAGATAATTTTACGAATCACAAAGATAAGGATGATGAAAATCCATACCAATAAAGAGCTTTTTTATTGCTGAAATAATACACCTGTCATGGTCCGTCGTCTAGGAGACCAAAAAATTGACCGGGATATTCTTAAACTAAACTTTTTTACACACCCACGTTAATTCATGAAGGCGGTTTTTTGTTGCTAAAGTATAAACTCGCACTTCATACGTTGTGCTAAATTTAGAATATGGAACTGGTTTTCCTGTTTGGGCTGATACTCAACCCCGTTTGCTTGAGCTACAATCACTGTAGATGTTACTCTAAATTGTTTAGATTATACGGTGATTCTAGCATTCTAAGCAATAGACGTTTCCGTTCAGCAACAAACCGCACAAAGTAGAACTATTATTAGAAAAACAACCAGTAATCCTTAGTTGAAGAGTATATTAACAAATGAAGGACTTTTTCGTACGCATTTATATCAAGTATTATGATTATCATGCTCTGATACATTTATTTAAGTTATTATACGGCGATTACGAAACCTCTAATGTGTACATGGTGATGTAAGTATGACGTTTGAATTGACTTTTAAAAGGGACGATAAAAATAGTGATAGGGATTGAAAGTGGGATGTTTCTCTTTCTTTCTTGTATGGAAAGTGTGCTATCCGAGATTAGTTTTTCACCCTCTTAAGCAGGTTTCCTTTTTTACAACGATATAGTATACTGGATATATATACTTGTCTTCTCAAATGGGGTTCGTAAACAAGTAAATATTATGTTGGTCTTGGACTTTGAATTCGTCTCTAACGAATGGACGAATATTATGATAAAGATCTTCTTGTCTTTTGTATCCAAAGGAGGAGGAGTTAGTACTAGGATGGAAAAAGATTTAATTTCTTTGGTAATTTCAGCAACATTACCTTTCTAGTTTTTAACAAATTAAATTCAGTAAAAGCACCATTAGCCACCTGCTGAGCTTTGACAATTCCAGGGTTAGCCGCTCCAAAAAGAAAAATGTTGGTATACTCAATTTCTTGGCAACCTCAACAATAAGGTCCACACAATCTGCTGTTGTATTTCGGTACAGTTTTTTAATCAATCCAAAGCTACACCATCACACTTGAATTTAGTATGTCCAGGTATGATTCGATGCTTTCATAGTAACCACAAATTACCAAATATAAATATAATCAAACGGTCGCATTGTCTTTATTCTGCCCACCAGCGTTATCGCATGTAATCTTTAAATGCTTTAATTCCACCCATCGAACACATTGCTCAGTGTGCCATTAGGACCTTTGCCGATAATTTTGTCTTCATCGAGAACGTAATTAATTTGTTCGCGTACTGCTTCATCTTGCATACCAAATAAATGCACTTTACGTGTACTGAGATAATAAATCAAAGGGAATCGTTTATTTGATTATTGTATTCCGTGGAGTAAGTACTTAACAACGAGGGAATCTCACGCTCAATAAGAGGCGCGTACAACGCTCCTGGATTTTTCGTCGTATTCCTCATCTGGTAATTCTGGTCCATAACGCACTATCTTTCCGTCAATGATCATGACATGACTACCTTGAGATGAATCAAACTGTCGAGCCTCGGTGAAGCGACGATATGCAATAAGGTTTTTTGCAAGTTCTTCTCCTTCTCTTTGTTCGGGATCGGGATCGGTAACATAATCAAAGATAAGACAGCGCTCAGAGATATCCATTGTAGAGGGCCAAACAAAATTAGGACCGACGACAATTTTGGGGATAAGATGCAATCAAACTGGGTCAGGTTTTTTGTATACCGTAAAATTTCTCTCTGTCCTTATCCGTTAATGGTCCATATTGCGATTCTTCAATGCCCAGTTTTTGAGCGAATTTTTCGAGATCTGCATCTTTAGTATTAGGGTCAAATTTTCCGTAAACAGGCTCTTCAGATGTATCGTGCTTTATTTCTTCAACAGATTCTGTTTTAGGATTAAGCTCAGACATTTTATCAAGTGGGCAATATGTACTTTATTATAACATAATAACACTAGAAATTACGAATTAGCGACGGAGTTGATCGATTCATTTTCGATTGAACGAGACTTTGCAGTGTTTTTGTTATCGACTATGGTGTTAAACAGATTTTATTAGTATAAACGAACAAAGATATTACGAGAAATTATGAGACACATACGGGAAGCCAAGACTAAGTTTAGGTAGTCATGTTTCTCCTCATCATTGTTGCAGGCAGTGAAGGCTTTCTCCGCTCTAGCTTCGGCTTCGCTATTTTCAGTGAGGTAGTAGAGTAGGATAGACTTTTGCTCCCTATTGAGATTGAGGGAAGCAATCTCTGCATAGATGTCCATTTTACCTGTAGGTGGTGGGTCGACATGTTAATACACTTCACAGTAGTATACGAACCAGAACTGGACATTTCAGTTTTAAGTTGGTCAGTTTCAAAGATTTTACTGCCTGTGGGATGGCATATTAACACCCAAATGCAACAAGATTCTGAAATAACTATGTTCGCAAATGATAACCTGAATTTTTTTCTCTCCCTTCCTATAAACTTTTAAAGCGTGCTTTTGGAATTTATGTAAGCAATACTACGCTATATTTAACAAGTTTGATTGGCATCATGTAGATCTTTCTACAACATCCCTGCATTAGAACCGCGTAAGTCGCGTGAGAAATTAAGTGATCGGCATTATGTTTCGGAACGCGCATGTGATTTTTAACTCGATAATTTAAATAAATCTGTACCTTATATAAAGTTATTAACAGACATGTCGTCAGAGCTTGAATCATTGAGACAAAGAGTCGCTAAACTTAAGGCTGAGAATATGAAAATAAAACAGCTTATAGAAGAAAGCGCCAAACGCGAAGCCGAGAGCGTTACCTTAAGGCGAAACTAGAGAAGAATAAAATAGACACTGCCAATCTCGTGGTTGAGAATGCTGAGCTTAGAGATAGAGTCACGAAATTGAAACAGAAGCAGACACAAAATGATATTATGCATAAAATAATTTTTTCAGCCTTGCTGAACTTGTTCAGACTTAATACTAAATCAAAGAAGATAAGGAAGTCGATGATTTTGTTGATTTGAAGAATAAAGAAAGAATTAGTAGTGACATAAGAGATAGAAACAGAGAGAAGAAAATGCAAGCCCAAGTTTCACACAGTCCTTCTTTGATGTTAGCCGATTGCAATAATATTTCGGATACCGAGCAGAGGAAGAACCACATGGTGATCTGGAAAAATGGTTTCAATCAAAAATCACATGACATGAAAACAGTGACAAATTTGTCACTGAAGTACTGTATCTGAATTGAGCAAGATGATGAAATTAATGAGGTTGACACCAGTCAAGTTGTAGTAGAGAAGATCAGAGAATATTACAAGAATTGATGAACAAATTCAAACAAGCTGGCTTTAGATCCAAGTTTTCGGAACCTAATATCGTCAGCATCCACTTTACCCAATTTATTGGCCAGCTTCCTCTTGATCACCTCCTTCAGGTCATCAACATCCTCTCTGCCAAAATTTGACTTTAACCACTGTACTTGACCATATATTGAAAGGTAGTGACCCAGCCATGGCAAGAAAAGTTTTGTATGAAACGCTCAGAACTAATGTGCGATGTGATCTTATATTACTAACACTGATCAGTTGCTTAATCAATAACGTATTGTTACACAATATAACCTGTATAATGCAAATAAAGTCGTACAAATATAGTAAAGTGATTGTTTACTGCCATAACCTATAATCGGTCATAGTGCAATAAGTAACTTGTGCATCTTTGAAATATAATGGTTTATTATCCGTTTTCTGGCAGCTAAATTTGTCTTTCACTCAAATCTGATGCTAGAAAAATTACAGAATTTGGATATTTACATTGGTAGTGTCTTTTAAGACTAATCTCTTACGTCTAAGTGATAATACTCCGGAGATTGAAAAATGCTTTATATAAACCGGTAACTGTAAGGTAAGTCCAAATTTGTAACGATAATGACTACTTTATATGGTGACTCAAATTCGAATTTGTATTCAAATGTTTCAACTAGTGCAAGCTTTACAACCCAAAGGTGAGTAGTTATATGTAAAGTAACTCTTGTTTCGTACGCGTAATAATAATACGGACTAACACTAATGTAGGTGTATTGAAAGAAAAAAAATTTTTTTACGCCACTAACGTGCATCTTTAAATCTTGATTAGTTCCACTGTTTCAACTGTCTCAACTTCTTCTCATATGCCACTTCGACTGAGCAAAAAACTCCTTAACCAAGCCAGAGATCGCTTGCTTGCGCTTCAAGAAAAATTGGAAGTGGATGAGGATACAAAGCCAATAATTATCGCTGAAAATGTGTCTCTTGGAGACTACATCAAGTATCGCAAAACTGACCGAAAACTCCCTGTCAGAATTCGCTTGGTTGACGGGAAAATTCTAGCTTATGAAGTACCTCTTACATCCCATGGAGCCGTAGTAGGCAGAATTTCAAAAATGGTAGTTGTCTGGAATAATCAATTAGATTGTGCATATGAAGAAGATCTTATTGTAGGACTGAACAGTTACTATACAGCTGACCTTACCATTCGACCACAAGGACTTCCTAGAGCTCCAGCTGGACAGGAACCCAACTCAGACGGAAATGCATATCCAACAATGGTTGTCGAGGTTGGCAACAGTGAACCAGTCCCTAGCTTACATGATCTTTCAGCGGGTTACTTTTCTCCACGAACGACCATTCAAATTTACCTTGCAATCAAACTGTTTCCCATTCGTCAGAACGGTACAAGGGCAATGCTTGCGCTGCGCTACTTACGTACAAATCACAACAATACAGTGCCGGACATCATCATATCTTTTGGTACCGCGTCTCCCCACTCTAGTACAATAGAATTTCTTACAAATGTAGTTGGTGTTCCACCTGCTAACATAACTGGTGTTGGGTTTTCAGCAACTGCGTGCAACACCCCTGGTCTTCCGGATTATCGATTGCATATTCCCGTCATTGAACTTTTTAATGGCGCCTCTGGCGGTGTCCCTGGGGCATTTAATGGGTTATATTTGGATTTATGGGAATTGCAAAATATAGTATTGACGTTAACCCGTTAATCTAAAACTCCTTAACGTCATTTGTGGTACAAGTGGTAAAACTTATAATAGTGTGTTTCAGAAATGAGACAAGAAATTAGCTTCCATTATAACAATCAAAGTAAAGTTTGCTTGCATGCATATTAGCTTATCTTTTAACTATGATATGGTTATGTCCGTGAAGTTTTGCGTTATTAAGCTTTAACCATTATATTTATATGCAAGTATGTGCATCAAAAACACCTTGCATACTTAGGGATTATATTCTACGAAGAAGATTGAAATCTTTATCCCGACCCAAGCAAATATATAGAAATCCTCTTTTGCTATAGTCAATCGATTGTAATAAGCAGCCGTCCTTGTTGATTATTAATATGTACTTTCCTACATGATCTGATCGTACGTTATACATTCCCTTGTTTATTTGCAATGCACGTGGAAAAAGTATTTTACCATAAATAGCCATTCTCTTGGAGTATTGCCATTCTTCGTCATTATAAACATGTGATCGAGGGGTACCCTCATACAGAGATATATCTCTTCACTTATCAACCTCTCGCGTCTGGACATATCCATCAATTCTTCTGAATCGAGGTTTTGATCTCGTGCAAAGTCTATTATCTCTGCATCGGACATCATTCTATCTCGGTATATTTGTCATAAATTTATCGGGTCCTCACCATGATCGATGGCCAATTGTCTGAGACCTTTTCACGGGGTATGTATCCTGTAGGTAACGAGATTTTTTTCTTTATTGCAAGATTTACTGGGTATAAAACATCAAACCCTTCGATATTAACCACTCCGAGTAGTCTTTCTATGTATTCTACTTCCGTTCCAGGCCCTTTCGAATTAATTATTCTCTTGAAACATTATTGGTAGGTACAGAATACGTGTATTAAAAATTATTAGCGAACTAGCAAAGCTAATATGGGATTCTATTGTTGTTCTTATATATTCTCCGACTGGCGAAATTTGCAATAAAGACTGTTATAGACCTGAGGTGTGTAAAATTCATTGGAAGGCCCCTACGCGTGTAACTTGTAAAGAATGTGGTAAGTTGACATTCTCTATGTTTCATGCATGTAGAGATCATTCCGGTTTAAAGATTATTATCAACGAAAAAGGCTAGTAAAAATCACCCAGAACATATCTGAGAGTAACACTACAGCAAAAGAGTAAATAATTATATTTTCGAACACTTACTAAAAAAATCCGGTTTAAGTTAAAAATATATATATATATTTGGCTGTCCTAAGAATTCGACTTAAAGCGCAGGAAAAGTGTGTCACCAGGCAAATTTTATACTGGTCGACATTATTGTTAGTGGTAGGTTGAATATTAGCATCACCTAACACTAATCCCACCATAATACCCATTTCTGAATCTAACAACGACAAGAGTTAATTGGTATGCTTAACTACACCGGTTTGTCGCACCTTCAACAAAGTGAATTCTTCATATTTTAATATGTTATCGTTATACAATAATGCAGTGTAACACTTACATCATTCACATGTGAAGTTCACTTGAGAAACAAACTGCATACTGATCTTAACTACACTTGTTACAGTACATTCAATTGCTCACACGACAATGTTTCTAAAGACACTTGTATCACCTTGATATACATCCCCTGATCTGCACAGCATTGATCAAGAGAAACGTTCACAACTTTATTAAATATTTCAACTATGATGTCGTCTGGATCTCTGACATAACAACAGTTGCTTTACAGGTAGTTTTGCTGCAATATTGTAATTTGACTGAATTGCTAAATCTATGGTTATGTGATCCAGCTCTCTTATTGCCTTTTTCGGCTCCCGCCCAACAACCCATCTCTCTACAGCACGCATGACAAATTCTCTCAGTTTGAAGGTTATATGCTTATCATTGTTCAAGATCATTTCGTTCACTCCCATGAGTGGCAGTCGGAGGATGTGCCGCCATACGTGATCATCGACGAATTCATGAAGGTTTCGGTCAGTTAGATCGTTGCTATTACAAAATAGACGATTTAATTGGCGTTCAAAATCAGTTCATACTCAAGTACTATTACATACCCATACTTGTCGATATAATTCTTGGCGGCTCCCTTAAGAAGTATATTGACCTGGCACCTCATGTTGCTAAGGATATCTCCGACCTTCTTTGCCACCATGGGGACATCTGGATGTGCCCGCGTACTACCCAGAAGTCGGGCGGCAAATTCTTCATACAACTCCGACGTGCTGTTTCGAGTGCGCAAGAAAAGTGCACGGCTTTCCTTATATATTCGATCATTCAAAGTCTTAAAGGCAAGTTATATATTAAATCAGTGGTTAAATTTTAAACGTCGCAGTGGAACTGATAAATGACTTACAGATTGATCGATTGTCGGTTTCTTTTCTAAAATTTTTATTAGGTTTAAGATATGTGGCCTACTGGTCACCCACTCAGCAATTTCCTGATCACTTCTTCTGAAAAGTTCTCGGCATTCTTCATTGATATCTGATTCTTTTTCATTGGCGTTCTCTTCGACAACATTACCGTGGTTACTCGTTTCTTGATATTCGGGTTCGGAGAGGGGGGGATATTGTCCTGTTCAAATCGATAATTAATACAAACAATTCATATAACAATAAGCAACGGCGTTTTGGTATTATTTAGAAGAAACGTACTTGGTTCGTAGGTGAAAATATCCCGTTCCGCGGCGCTTGTTTCGTTATCAGAATCGATCACTATGTCTAGAAAAGTTTTCGTGTCAAATGTTATTATAGGCAGTTCCAATTGCATTTAATTATAATTTAATTCAGAAAAATTGCCTCTTGGTTCAACAGTCTGAATTCTTTTCGGTTTGGGTGGGATTGGTTTTGGGATTGGTTCTGGCATTGGTTGTTTTCTTGATCTTGGCATCGTCAAGTGTACGTGTGAGTTGTGTAAGAATGTGTGTAAGTAAGTGTGTGTTGCTGTGTTTGAATGCTCGACTCGCGCGCTTCAAATGCACATTTATAAATAACAATATGGCTGCACGATAATATATATTGCTCGTATATGTGCTTGTTAAAATTAAATGATCTATACTGTGTTATAAAAAAAGTCGTTTCGAAGATAGCAAAACCATACTCTATGTTTCTCTCTTCGTTTGGGATTTCCTTTCGTGACTTTTCAAGTATTTCCTCATATTGGCGACAATAATCCACCTTTAATAGACAACCCAGAAAATTATACAATTAATATCACTAAAACGTAAATAATTAAATACTTTTCAACGTACATCTGGTGTTGATAGCTTTTTTGGTCTGTATCTGATATATATAGATGATGCAACGCCGTTCCTCCGTTTGCACAATCTTGTCATTTTGAAAAACTAGTTTATTGTTGTTTTCAGGAAAATTTAACAGTTCGAGCAGGTATAAGGAGGGCAATAAATCTTGCTTCTTTTTAATCCCCGCGTGCAGGATTTGCATCTGTACACAAAAATTAATAATCTAGCTAAAAATATTTCTGACATTAAAAATACTCTAACCAAATATGCAGCTCACTAAACATATCTGACAAACACGCGACATAAACATTGTGTACCAATAGCAAGTGTCAAAAGACACGACACTATTTTTGTTATTAAGAAATATTGATTTACATGTGATATTCTTGTCAAAACATCACGACAACGCAAATGCTTTCAAAACATCACGACACCAGATTGTTGTCAAATATCACGAATGTTGCGGCTAGGGCAATGTCAAAACATTCTCAAAACATATTATATGTACAATTTCTAACCAGCGTTCGTCACGCGTCCTAACCCGTAGCGATATTAGTGAATAATAAACAGCTTTTTATTACCGGTTGTGGCATTGGTTGCTCACATTATTTGAATATTTAAAGGTTGTTATTTATTTATTTATTTATTGAGTTTTTGTTTCTAATTGTGTTTATTGTTATACAAATGTGTTTACTATTACATATTACAGAGTAGTGAAGCAACATTGACTCATAAGCCGGACATGCGCATGAAACTGCATCTGCTGATACAGGTTCATTGCCTTGAGGTCAAGATCGCAGTATTAGACTTATTAGGGCATTTTACAATACCTTTAACCCCTCCCGAAGATCCAGAGACGGTGAAGGATTTTGTATGCCATTTGTTGCGGCTTGTAACATACGTTGATAACGTGTCTAGTCGACTGGGAGATTTAGGATGAGGCAGACACGTTTGAGCAGTACTACTCCCCCAAACGTGTAGAAGGAAAAATTGGCTTCTAATTAATATAGTCAGGACTTTACCCAATATAGAAATCGATTCGAGAGATGATCTACAGAAATTTTCTTGAAATGTGATTGGCTCTCGCCGTCTTTTTACCTTGTGGATTTTCACGGTACGTGTTAATATAAGCACACAACAAATACACGTCTAGTTTCGTTAATCCCTCGCGCCGAGCTCTTATTGGAAAAGTAAATGAGTCCTAAAATTTCTATATTTGCTGTGTACTGTTACTAGCGACACCGTAATTACACTAACTATGCCAACACCTATAGGACCTTTTTTATGGTACCTGGTCCTGGTAACCTGAAAGCAAGATCTCCCATGTTTTTGCAGAGGTGAGCCGTCAAATATGAGCCACCACTCTCAGAAAGCCGCCGAAAAGTGAAGTCGGATGAAAGCCATGTATTGTTTTTTATAATATTTTTCTGTTACCAACTAGCAGTAGGGGGGGGTAGTAAAAGTGTTGCCAAGGTTTCTTTATATTACCGAAAAATTGACATGCGAGCTTCTCCGATAGCTCCTACTGACATGCTAGTTACGCGGCCAAGCGATTCGCTTTATATCATAACCATTTCCTGAACTTTTTGCCTTTAGAATCATATTCAATTTGCGAGAGGCATTATAACCAGATTATCACTAATAATCATTCTTCCAACGTCTAGTGGGTTCTATGTCGTCGTGGCTTCCTGCCGGTATTTTAATGTGTCGGTCCCCCGGACAAGAGAATAAAAGAGTCCGATTCAGTGCTGATGAAGACAATACCCCATTCCTGTTAATCAGTCCAAGTTATACCATCACGTATCCGAAGAACACGCGATGTAAACAATGTCAAGTATCTAACTATACCCAGAGATATATTTGAAATTATCGAGTCTGATACCTTCTGGGACCAGATTATAAAACGAACAAACTGGAGTCATATGCTTACTATTATTACCACACATTTACAATGCGAACAAAAAGAAGCAGAAGCATAAACAAAGGAAAGGCAAAAGAAGCCTCCTCCACTGACACCATCACATCCCAACATATTCTAGAGCTTGATCGACTTCTAGAGTATAACCAACGGGGAAATCGCAATTAATAACTGAACTCAATAATCAACTGTCGCGAATGCGGCAGCAACTTGAGGATCAAAAGAACGAAATACAAGACTTGAAGGAACGATTACAGAAGGCATACGATATTACGATTCGATTGACACTTTGCATGAAACTGTACAGGAATCTTATAGATCGGGCTATTACTACATAAACATCTTTATATGAGAATATTAAGATTTTCATTAAAAAACTTGTTACGTTCGTATACGCCGCTGAGTAATTGTAATCAGGTCGTTGCAAAGTTTATTGAAATTCTGATTTATTACTATAATTATTTGAACGTAGGTTCTTCAAATGCTGAGAAAATGCCATGGCTGTCGATTTGATATATGGATCTAGTCATGGCAAATACGTGAATCTTGCAGCATAAAATATTCTATCGTGTGCGTCATAACGCGAATCAAACTGCCGGGTTTCCAATCCAGGCACGTAAGCGGGACGTCCTGAAAGTGCGAACCACGGACACATTCGGGGCTGTTATACATAGAGTCGGCAAGTTGTTCATCTTCCCTGTGGAATCACGTATACTGTCCGATCGAAAACCATGGTATTGCAATACGTCAAAAAGCTTTTGTTCAATCGTCGCTATCCTCGTCTAAGTCAATTGATCTATTTTCAATATATATTATTAAAATGGAATAACAACAGAAGAGATAAATGACGTTTTATTCAATTAGTTATTTCCAGTGAAATGCTTTTTGAGAAAGATAATATCAATTTCTGCATTTAATTGATACACGTCTACTCATATATATACCCAGATGCCATATTATGCACATACAACAGTTCACTACAAGTTCTCAAAACAACGGACTCTTTACACTCAATAAAACACTACATAACCAATAAAAAAATTCAGTAAAAGCAAACCTTCCATCTTCCAGGAAAACAATAAACGACTCTAACACAGATTTCGCCAAAATTTTCTGGTCGATCGCATTTTCCTCCTTGGGTTTGTAGTGAGGAATATTATCTAGAACATTGTAACCAACCAAACTGCAGTCAACATCATCGATCTTTCTACTTCAGTAACTTGCTTTTCGCCAGTAGAACAGGTGAGTTGCATTTGAGCCTCTTGTAACGCCATTTACTGATTAGAATCAGTTTTTATGTCATATTTGTTGAACATTTCCTCAACTTGTTGTTGATTAACAATGATAGACCAAATTCTGTATTTCACAAGAGTGGGAAATTATGGACACTGGAGCATTGGATTTTGTAAAGGCAAGAAATTAATTCAGAAAATCGGGTTCCTTTAGAGTATCAATCAAGCCATTTCTAAAATTTCAGCATAACATTGTTCTTGCCAAGTTTTTTCAATTTCGCGAAGCTTCTGCTCTAGCTCCTAAACGACGGTAATGGATTCAACATTCCATCCACTTAGAAAAGCTCTCTAATGCCATATTAACTCCGCGCTTTAATTTTAAACAGCGGTTCAATAACTCACTCTTGTTATTTATTTTAGGGTAATCGTGGCAGTAAGTAACGACACAACCGTCCCAGGCAAAATAGTGAAGAACTTTGTTCTCTGTCATGGCGAGTCTTTGCTTCAATGTGAGTGATTGGTTGACTAGGTCCTGCCAGCACTATTACCAGTTGATAGTAATACCGTTATACCAAGTGTCTATTTTAATGGGAAAAATTGTACTACGCGTATGTGTTCTTTTTTATTAATGCTCTGACTTTGACCCGTTTCGGGATTGTCGCATCAGAATAATCTTTTGCACCAATAAACTACATAATCTATGTAACAATATCGAGAAAATATGTGACAAGCTTGAAACGGCCCGTTCTCTAGATCCAGGTATATCTCGCTATTTCATTAATATATAATTTTTTATATTAATAGTTTTCAATATTATGCTATTCTTTGGCGACAAGGGATGCGAAGGCAAACGGATAATTTAGAGACTCAACCTCTTTTTTGAATTTGCAGGTTATTACGAGTTTAATTCAAGGGTGCTTCCACATAATATCAATATGATTAAGTTAACAAGGTTCTGAAACAAATCGCGCACATTTACTATTAACTGTCTTTGATCATTTGAATATGTAAGAAAATATAGAGTACATTATCTATTGCAAAGCAAATATTGAGAACCAATTCTAAAGTTTATGAAACTGGTAATGAGTTTGATAATAATCGTTTCTGAATAAACTTATAAACAAATTTATAGCACATTTGAGCAAAGGGTTTGTGAAGAAGGTTGATGTTTTTCAGTCTGGCTGGACAGGTAAAACTACTTGCTGAACTTCATATAAGTCGATGGTAATATTAGTAGCCATCAATGCAGCAGGCGGTGGTGCAAATGGAACATATCCAATGGCAGGAACCGGCGGATCGTAAAACACGTCGCTAACGGGGATGTTGATTATATAGTCCGGGTTGTTTAGGGCATTGCAACCATTAACGCCAGTAGCAGATCCGTCTTTGTTGATGGTCCCAAATTTCCACTACCATATAAAAATTTTTGAACATGACAGGATGTATAAATTTCTCTCTCTAGACAAGTAAACCTTACCGTTTGCCTTCGCACCCCTTGTCGCCAAAGAATAGCCTAATATAAATATTGAAAAACTATTAATATAAAAAATTATATAATAATGAAATAGCAAGATATACCTTCATGGCCCGATCTCTGTATCCTTGTGCATTGCGTGTATCCTTTATTTCGTAAAGCTTGATGCCGAGTATGGCTCGTACATACGGCTCTCGCTTCCATTTCCTGCACTTGTCTTTTAAGGAGGAGGAGCTTTGGCCCATGGCTACTTCAACCACTATCCTCGAATAAGGGTTTCCCTACATAAACCATATTATATCAACCACGAACAATAGATATTAATATGACAAATTCAAAGTACTCTCGTATTACTCGGAGGGGGGCTAGGGTGTGGGACTGGTGGTTGTGGAACAAAAAGATGATGTGGTTGGACAGCGAGATCTGGCATTATACGGGATCCATCTCGACTTGGCGATTCGTGTACTGTGTGGAAAGGAGATGATATGAAATCAACAAGCCAAAGATCAAGTAAACTGGAAGGAATTCCCTTACATGACTGTCCAACAATTTGTAGTGGAGCATTAAAATCGCGAACGCCACCGTTTGGAACATCAAAGCGTTTGATCAACAGAATAACAACTTTCTCATGTTCAGCTGTGGGCATATCAACTATGAATACAGTGCCGTTTTTATACTCAATCTTGTATCCAATCCTGTCTTTGCTTTCGATGAAAGAGTTGAAATCTTGCACGGATACGTCTGAGGCAAGCGGATAAGGAAGACTACAATCCATACAAGTCAATACGAGACGTATCTCAAAAAAACAAAAAAAAAACAAACAAACTAGTGTGATGCGTGCTCACCTGGTCTCACTTATCGGCTTGCGTGGTAAATGAATCTGCCCTGATGAAAATACCTTCACCAAAGCGTTAAGTGGTTCAAGTTCAAGTCTGACCATTTTTTTCGGGCTATCAATAAGATACAAATATGATTTGATTCATGTCTGAGTTTATAAAGCCAGTATTTTGCGTTCCCGTGATCTTGCGAATTTTGATATACTAATACTCTCACACCCACCCCTATGATTACTACAATTACCCGCACAACGTACCCCTAATTAACAGTTTATTACATAATACACGTGATTATAAAACCAGTCCATAATAATAATACAATTCTGGTTACTGTGATTACTATAAACCAACCCCCTAAGTTTGTTATTTACGTGACGGGTTGCCGATCATTTTCAGGGGATTCTTTTCTCGGGGGGCTTAAGAATTTAGTTCCAAAAAAGAAATACCTGAGCCAGTTTGTGTTATTCATTTGGTAAAATCCCAGCCGGGTGACGAGAAATTATTTGTTTATCCGATAATAGTAGAAGTTTTTTTAATGGCATATGACTGAGAATTTGAATTCAAATTACAAGCTCAGAATTTAATTCTTGCTGTTCATATAGAAACAGATTTATTCAAAACCTCCATTAGTGAACCTGGATATGTTGTACTAGCTTTTTTCTAATCCAATTACTTTTTTATAGCAATAACCAAGGTTATATTGTGCATTGGCAAATCCTTGTTTAGATGCCTTTTTATACCATTCAACTGCTTTTTGTTCATCTTTTTCTGCTCCAATTCCATTGTTATAACATACACCAAGATTATATTGTGCATTGGCATTACTCATGCATGAGTATATATAGTGGAAAATTTTTTTTCAGCGTAGAATCAGTGTTATTAAATTTTCACTCAATGTATGCAAATGTATATTGGTATGTTAGATGTCAATGTCAACAACAAGACTGAGAGTGTCCTGTGAACGGCGATTTGATCAAGTGAGTTCTGCGGTGATGACAGTTTAGAAGGATTCGTGTATTTATTATTATCTAATACACTTTTAAATCCAAACATCAAGTCCCAAAAATGGACATAATTATTAGTCGCTTAAACTAGTGATTGCTACAACTTGTACAATATGTGTGGTTACATTCTAAATTTAAAAACTGGTTATTTTTAGCACACATTAACATTCCGGTGGGCTTTATAAAAGATAGAATTAGGCATACATCAAATAATCTTCTTGACAAGAACGTATGATTTATTTAAATGTTAAATTGTCAATACCAGAAAAATACGCTGGCGGCAGCGTCGCCACCCGATAGCAATGCTAATTTTATCTCATTGCACGCCCAACAAATCACATGTACACGAAATTCATCAAACAGTTCATTTTTATCCAAGCTTTGTATTAATTATAAAATGCTGTTCATTCACAATATTTACTTGGTTATATCACATATACCTATTTTCGATTTACTACTACTACGATGCCAAATTTGTAAAAGCAATGCGAGATGTGTTCCTCCTATACCACCACATTTTTTTTTTAAAAAAAAGAAAAAGCTAAATTTCTACACTAGGAGAGTCTATATATGAATTCATTGCGTGGTTACATAAGATGAAGAATATACAAGAAAAAAAAAAGCAGATCAATTAAATGATCTTAAATATTTCGATCCATGTATGTTTAATATGAAATTTACAAGAGACTAGAAATGCTGCTATATATTAATAAGAATGCATTCAAAAAGCGTATTTTCTATTTTAATATTTACGTACGCAACACGTATTTCATTATTATATGTGTATATATATATTTAGATATTTTGATTGCACACGCCCCCATCCTTTTTTCCGATTATCTACAACCTTTTTTTTTTGTTGCCTCTATAGCTGTACTTGAACAGGGTGTGGAAATTGATTATGTCGTTTGAGCGGCATTGCTGCTGACTGTCGAATGTCATTCCCACTAGAATTATTGCTTGGTGTAGATTTCTTGCATTGCTCGATGATGTCGATCGATGCTTCTATAATCTGGGCGTGCACCAAAACAGCAGATTTCCTAGCATCCAATAACTATCATATTAAAAGAAAATAAAAAATTTTCAGTTAACATCTATGAATTATTCCCAACGTGAGACCAAAATATATATATAATAATCTATATAACGTACCTTCCACTTAACCTCAAAGAGGTCATGGAACGCATCTTGAACTCTTCGTTGCCAATCGTTGGACATTCTGATGTCTCCATTATCCACGGCTTCTTTATCCCGGTCGGTACTAAGGAAGAATGTCAAGTCCGGGCAAGGAATGTTGGTGTATGAAGATTTGCACCAATTGATGTCCAAGCCTGCCGCCGCTGAAGATGCGATGGCCGTATAAATATAATGGTCAACTATTAATGTTATACCATTACTTAGATGTTCGCGCATCGTGGGGCTAGAGAATAACAAAATATGGGATGAATATATATATACGTTGGTGCAGACGTGGAAAGAACAATATGATATTTCTTGGTTCTTTACTTACACTAATTCCCACCAATGTGCAGCAATCAACAAATGCAATGCTCTTGGTTGTGAATGTCCATTATTCTGTCGATGCTTCGTTAATGCTTCACCAGCCGGAGTAGATGCATCGGGGAACTTCCATAATTTCGCCTTGATACCCTCGTTTTTCAAAAACTCCAACAGCTTGGCAGCTTGCATGGTAGTCGCTCCATCTTCGTAACCCTCGAGGACGATCAATGCACCACGAGAGGACGAGGGTGCTGAGGTTGTAGTAGGTGAAGCAACTGGAGCAAGAGGACTAAGCAGAGGCTGAGGTGGGCTGCGTGAAAAGCTAGGCAGTCGATGTATACTTGGAATGTTGATAGTCGACCGTATAATTTCACTTGGCAATTGTTTGGCACCTCTAAGATGAGATAGTTCTTTAGCGCCACGTTCAATGATAACAACGGATTGGTTAGAAGCCATTCTGTGACTGACGATATCCGCAGATCGTCTGTCAGTCTTTGCGTTAATCTCTACTAGAAAATTATCCATTACGCTTTCTCGGGTATCTCGTGGTTTAATATTCTTGATGACAGGGCCCGCCCTCCGTCGTGGTTGATATTTATAGTCTGGGTATGCTCTCATATGACTTTCTTTAGCCTCTTCGGCCTTGCGCTTCCATTCTTCTCTCTCTTCCTCGGAAAGATTCTTCCAATGATCAGCGACAATGCGCGAGATTTCACTGTTATTAATACCCGGATTTTGATTGAGGATTAGTGGGTGGTGATGTTGTCTATATAAGATGAATGAATTGGGAGGGCGAGGAATATAGGGTTTCTTCTGCTTTGTTGTAGACTTGGCAGAAGTCTTGTTATCCATGTCGTCTATATTAAGTTGAGAATCTTGAAGACGCCGGCGTTTGGTTTCAACGTCAGCGGTAGTATCTAGCTGCCTCTTGTTTGTTTGAGGAGAGCTTGGAGCGGTCGATATGGGTGAAGAACACCATTCATCGTGATTGATCAGATTAGATATGCTCGCAGCCGAGTGTAATGGAGAAAGTGCGCTGTTTGGGGAAGAAGAGTGCAACTCGCAGTTTGAAGGTGAGGGGAGTTGTTCGGTATTTTCGTCGCTGTGTGTTTCGGGAGTTTCTGCTGGTGTGCTCATTTTTTCCGATGATAAAAATTGAAAATGGTTTGGGGGAGTATGGTGTCTACTTTTGCGGGGTATTTATGTTATATGCTTTGTATTCATACCGTATTTTATATACATGTATAATAAAATTCAATTCACTTCAAAGCAATTGTTACGATGGGTTTATTGTTGTATGATGATTATCAACATTATTATTGGTCAACAATAAAACCCTAAATTCAGCATTTCTATAATTGTCGAACTTGACTCGAATTCTTCCAATAACGAACAATGTATCGAACAAACAACCAAAATCTGTTGTTACATTTTAAAACAAAGAAAAAATGGGTTAACTAATGAAATGACGTCTACTCGAATAATGAATAAATTTCGAGTTCCAAAATAGTATTTGATTGATGAATATAAAGATGGCGGGGGTGGAGGGATGAATATAAGGACATGCCTATGCTGGGAGAGAGAAGGGAAGAGTGGCAAAAAAGTGGGAAGAAAGAGGATTGTGCGATGTGCATAAGAATGTTTCGAATGATATAAACAATGAATGGCGGAGTGCAGCGGATGTCATAACAATAGCGGGGGCAATATGCCTGGGGATGGGTTGAATGCCAGCGAACATATATGGCCTTGTTGAATGGCTGTTCGTTCAACAACGCAAGTAAAGTATCGTCATCGTACGTGGGATGCCCGTTATGATGAAGCCCTTATTATCATTACTACAGCCAATGAGATAGAATTTCAAACAATGGAACAATATATAATAATAGAGTTGGCGAATTCCAATTGGACCGTGGGTGTTATTACAACAAGGTATATATATACATATTGTCTATTCTATTCTATATTACGATACTAGGTTTTTTCCTTGTCTTGTTATTTTTACTACTTACGATTATATTATCATTGCTATTATCATTACCACTGCAGTCGCTCGCATCTCAGTCATTATGTCCATTAATAATGACCGTCCATTCATACATTTATTCGTTTCATTGAGTAACAAGGACACTGACAAAGAGATGCCTGGACTTTTCGCTTGTACAAATGCACGAATATCAAAGCATGCAAACGTTCTTGCGATTGGCCGTATGCTCATGCTGTCTGTTCAGCATTTGATACAATAGTACTACGAAGTTAATTTGGGAGAGGGAGGACAGCTTCATTGTCTGGATTACAAATATGATACAATAATGTAACTAAGGTTGATAATAATTGTAAAAAATAGTTTAACGATCCGTAACTATGACAATTAATAATTGTTATTAATAAATAGTCGAAATTAATAATAACAATCACCATTCGGACCATATTGTCATATCGTGTCATAATGCTGTTATTATTATTATTATCAGTGCGGTTCCTATTAGCCTAATTTTCCCAACTACTACGTAATTTAGAAACAATAACCACCTTCATGGAATCACTCGTTTACCACGCCCCCTATTCACAGTTGTTCCTCTTATTTGTCGCTCGTGCAAGCATCTAATCTTGTGTGTGCTCCGTAAAGGGTATTACAAGAAATATTAAGGTAGACTCGAGGAATAGACCGATTGCAGATGCATGGCAAAAAACAGTGACCACCTTGTTAAACTGTGCGACAGAATTCGCATCTAGAAGTCCATTTTCATTGAGCAATCCATTGTTCTCCCTGCTCAGTAAGAAACAAAAAAGGAACATAACATTCAAAGTGTGGGAGTCGGAACAGAGCATAGAAGGTAAGATAATGATTGTAAATTTTTAAGTTCAGCAAATAACATATCGACGTTTCTTAAGGTTCAAACATCAATTGTTTCTCGTTGAGGTACAAAATATAATCCCATCAACCTTTTATTATCAAATGGGGAAAACTGTTGTAATTTGCTATATACCCTAATAACCCTAATACATATATAACGAATCCCACATCTTTGTCTCGTTACAGAAACATTCTTTTGAACAAGACGTTGACGAATTGATTGTATGACAGCCTTGTAAACAGTAGCCTATTTATAGAGCTGGCACGCGTATATACAAGTAGATTGCTAAAAGTAACTGGGATGAAAAGTAGCTCGTTTGTCATTCAAACAAAAGACTCGGATCGCTCATGGCAATCTGGTTCCTGCATACCTTTGCAGTCTCCTTTCTCACGAGGGTGGTTGTTTATCATTATGTTTATCACTTGACAATGTATCTCTTACCTTGATGACAAACTAAGTTCTTTCCTTCCATTCCCATCCATTCATCTATTTGTGCAATTTACAACAAAGCAATAATACAATAAACGAATTATATCGAAAATAGACATATTAAAGGACACAGACAATCCTAGTACTGCGTAAATGATCATTCTTTGTTGCATCCTTATTATTATAATTATAATAATAATATTACTATTATTATTAATATTCAAGCATATACTGTCCGAATATTACTATTTCTACTATTTATTGTCTTATTGTCCAGTCGGCAAACACTAACACCCAATCATGGAACAATCATCGTTACATGGCATTGTGCATGAGTAACCCAAAAACAAGGAAACCAAATTAACCAATCATACTTGTTACTTGTGAAGAATGAGACTGGATATAAGCAAGCTGATAAAGAAGATAGAGAGACGGCGTAGATATATGAGACTTTTATTATTGGCAATATTAAATCAAATAATGACTCGTTGTTGAAAGAATAAATGAAATGTCGCGAAATAAAATGTGTTGTACTGATATTAATAAGAATGGAAAGAAAAGGCAATGAATGATATTTTTTTCAAATTAGATATTGGAGATAAAGACGATTTGTCATCAGGATAATTATCGGAACAAATGATGAAAGCGAGAGGATGTAGTAATGATGTATTGAATTCCCCACATCATCAAGAAACCATTCGGAATTTTTTCACACAGTTTTTAAACTTGAACATTTTAGGTGTGTCAATAGGCGGTTTTGTTCCAGTTATTCCCACATGCGGACGGTTTATACATATTCGAATGTAATACATTCATTCGAACGTTCTTATCTTGCTCGATTCTCTTTTTGCCAAGCGACTTACCAAAGATGGCAAATCGTGAGAACAATGTTATCCTCTAAAAAAAATCCGAAACCCGAATCGACATACACTTTCGCTAATAGTGCTGGGAAAATGTTGGTGTCAACTTAGCCTCAAACGCATTAATGAAATCTGGCCCATCTACGTACGATAACTGATAAGAAAATTTTTATCGGACATTCCCATTTTTAGATTCGATTATCATTGCCTTACGAGTGCCATCCCCGTGTGTTATACTTATTAATATTTCGTAATGATCACGGTCTTTATCAGGCAACATTCTCATAGTCTGCAATGACATAGCAAGTCTCCTGTGCTTTTTAATGAAACACACTTTGTCCTTGGCCGAATTTGATAAAACGATCCGATATTGGTTCGCTTCCTAACCTTTGCTATCATAAAGTAAAGCCGAGATTGTATACATAATGGTTTGCAATATACAGGATTTAATTTGTCTTTTGAAGAATGCCTTGAGTTATCGTTGACTTTGTCTTTGTTCGTCAATTTGGTTTTTAATAAACGGAAAAGTTTGATTTGAGTACGGCCGTAGCGTTTTATTATTAGCGCAGAAAACTATCTCACCATTGGTAATATCCAATTGGAAACAATTTACCTACCACAAGAAAAATGCTCTTTGTTAACGGTTCTTTGCCTTAGTGAGAAATATTTGCTACACAAACCGGACAAGGCGAACAGATTACTTGCAATTGCCGAGATTCTTGACTACTTTATAATAATTAAAGTTCACGAATATTGACATTTAAGGACATTCGGTAGCACGTAACTCTATGACGATAAATTTCTGGTTTTGTCGTCACGGTGTACAACGAACAACGACATCCCCACTATCATTAACCGGAGTCAGCAAACCTGCTTTTTCGATATTCACTCTTCATATGTCTTTCTAATTTGTCAAAATTTTAGTGACAATTCATCATTTAGAGCATCATCAATAGATTACTCGGCACGTTGCATAATAATACGCCATCCAGACGCTATAACTTGTCGAGCTGGACGAATTTGTTGACGTTATTGCAGTTCTAAAAATTAATACTTATTGGAGGTTGGAAAGACTTTAATTCCATAACTTTATATGACAGATTGTTATTGGTGAAAGGAAACGGCTGTCAGTGGCTATCACCGAAATTATGTCTCCCGTATTAGCCGCCATCGCAATGAGAGCATGTTTAAAGGAATGCATAATCCATGTCAACGTTAATTTATATCGTTTATGTTGAGCAATTATTTTTACTTCAATGACGTTATATTATTGACGCATCTTAATTAAATAAAATACGACTTTAAGATTTTCCACAATGTTATCAAGTCATTTATTTGTCTTCCAATTGCAGTTTACAATATATCATAAAATCAAATAGAAGTTGTCATCCGTTCATGTTGACCATAAGAAATTTCAAGCAACTGAATCTTGGAATACCTGACTCCACGTAATTGACGCCACGTAATAGTAACGGAGAGACGTATTCCTAAGATATAGTAATATGCTTAGTATAATAAATTAAAGCTACAGATTACATTTACAAAATGTGAATACAAGTTGGATAATAACATATACAACTTAATGAATAACAAGTAGTTTTAATAAAATAATTTTTTCAATTGTAAAAAGTTATGGGTGGTGGGATACTTTTGCTCCCTACTGTATTGGTTTATTGTTGTTTGTTTCGTTTGACTACTTTCTCTTCCATTAATATTAACAGTCTTGTCTGCTCACCTGTGTCTTCTTGTTGTAACAAAATAAAGTATACGTTTTCTAACTTTTTAATGCACTATTGACACTGATAATAGTAATCCCAACATATCATCCATTTCTATTTCTTCAGTATTACCTCATAATTTCTTTTTAAAATGTCTATGTGGTTATGATTCTCTAATAATTGGTCATTATCTAGAATATCATACACAATATCCTCATCAGGAATAAACACCCATTCCTTGCATTGGGTCTGAGAGGTGAAGCTTATTGACCAGTTCACTTATATCATCAAGTCCATAATACTAGCAGTGGGCCCAGCTCCTAATTGTTGATAAGTAATAAAGAACATAACTGGCCCAGTCAAATGAATAGCCAAGGTTTGCTTAGATATACACTCCCTGGACAAAGTTTGTACCCAAAACTATTTTAAACATTTTTCAAAATTGTACCAAATCACTAGCTATGATTTTACATTATTTGAAAGCTTTGTTCTCAACGAAGTTTTTTATTAATACTAAATTTGCATTTTATAATTTTTATTATGACAATAATTTATAAATAAAATTGTTGTCAAAATTACAAAATTGACATATTAATATGTCTTATTTTTGCATTTTCTTTCAAATAATAATAAACGATTGTAAATTTTATATTATTTGAAAGGTCTTGTTCTCAAGGTGTTTCTTGTTAATACTAAATTTTGTGTTTGGTGACTATATTAATATTTTAGAAAATAATTTGCTACCATTTATTCAAGAAAATTACCTAAAAAACGTTACAAGTTTCAAGATGACAATGCTCCTGTCCACGCTGCAAAAGGTATAACAAAATGGATGTCTGAGAAGAATTTTATTCTTCTTGAAGGTTGGCCTCGTACCTTAATCCAATCGAGCAATTGTGGAATAAACTTGGTCAAAGATTAAAAAGTCGTTCTAAACCTCCACAAAATTTGGGAGAATTAGAGAATTTTTAAAACAAGAGTGGGTATAAATTCCTCATAAAAGATATCTGAAGTTAATTAGTATGCCCAAAAGGATTGATGAGTGTATTGCCAATAATGGTTGGCCAACTGGGTATTAATATTAGTAAACAATATAATTTTTAGTGGTTGGATATAAAATTTTATCACTGAAATTGTACGTCAATTTTGTAATTTCAACAACAATTTATTTTTAAAAATTTGTCATAATAAAATGCAAATTTGGAATTAATAAAAAACTTTCTTGAGAACAAGAGCTTTCAAATAATGTAAAATCATAACTACTGGTTTAGTACAATTTTAAAAAAGGTTCAAAATAATTTTGGGTACAAACTTTGTCTGGGGAGTGTATGTGAATTATCCTGTTGACAAGCTTATTGGATATGGCCAATATCCAAGAGCAATCCTGCATTGATATTTGTGAGAGTATATTTAAACCATGCTGGGATTGTATTTCCCTTGTTGCCAAGACCCTCATCTCCATAGCTGGCCTTGATCCTCTAATTCTCTTCTTGATCTCTTCAGTATCTTGATTAATGTACTGAGCTGTTTTCACAGCTGCTTTGATGGTATAGGGACAGTAACTGTCCAGTTTCTCATTAAGATGTACACAGTGGCTGGGCTGGACGAAAGTTTGAGAACGAAGATCATATTTGAGTCACGTGAAACATCAAGCGAAAATTTATTTATTATATCCTAGAAAAAAATCTAAGGTGTCTTGTCACTTCGCATTAATTGAGTGTAAAAGTATTTTTTCCTTTATACTTAACAACGTTTTAAATTCTTCGTTTGTGACAACAAACTCTTGGTTCTGCTGTCTAATGTAATTAGTCATTACGCCTACTCCATGAACTGCTTCACCGACAATAGAAAATTGTTCTTCGGGCTCGTCGGGTTCATCGGGTTCGGATACTTTACCATTTCGATTGTCTCTTCGTCAGCCAGTACGATGAACTTTTGAGACCGTATTTTCTTTAATTCCATACAGGCAAGCGCCGCTTGAGTCAAATTAGGTTGAGCTTTCTTTTTAAAACACAAATCTCTTTTTTGAACACCCGTTAGAGAAACCCGCTTTATTGAAGGTTTTTTACTAACCATACCTCTATTGTTCATATGTCTTTTAATTGTTGCGAGAACGATCGAAATCTATTGGTTTAATATAAAATGATTACCAATTATAGTAATAGTGATGGTTTACTTCATCTGAATTGGTTCCGGGAAAAAGCACCATATTAGCCAACTTCATATTATCGAGTGATCATTATATCGAGAGCCACTGTGTATCTCGTCATGCCACCTGTCCTAACACATGTAGTTCATAGCCTCCTCTGAGACATCCAGGAAAACTTCTTTCAGCAGTCATCCAACTCCTTTGTATTTGGCTGATAGATAATAATGCCTATATTAATAAAAGATTCGGCCACAATTGAACATTATAATTACTTTCTCAAAGGATGTGTATCTAATAATGATGACGCATATTTCTGCATAAATCACTCGATCGGACGGTAACCACCAGCAACAACTGCGGAGGTGCAGCACGTACACAAAGCGCTGCGATAGTGCAGCAGGACAATAATAATAATAGTTAGATAAGCGCTGCAGTAGTGCAGCAACTAGCGTATGCTGATAAACAATCGCTACTAAAAATAGATCAATTAGTCCGATAAAAGCAGCATAGATTTCAGCTAGAGTCGGGGTGTTTTCGCAGTGTGTTTGATTCCTTTCAATAAAGGATAATCGCCTCTTGTCCCGTGATTATCCGAGTAGCATTTGCTGAAAGCGTAAGTGAAATACATTGTACCTCGCCGATAGACTATCAAACTAATCCCACGATAAAGTGACTCGAGGACAATTAATTTAGTGTCGCTCATCGACATACTGAGTCGTAAGTGTAAAGGGCCTAAGTGTTTAAAGGTCACTAACTGTAGATCGAGATTTAACTGTTAGTAGGAAAAGCCACGCTCCGCAAGAAAGCAACTAAATACCTAGTGCCGATTATTGTCTTCTCCCTGCAGTAGTTACATCTCATTGGAAACTGGGAACATGTTTCAACCACAACAATTACAAGTCCAAGTAAAGAGTACAGTATTGCAGAACAGTTTGCAAATGCAATACAGAAAATTAATGAGAAAAAAAAAGGCTGATTTCATTGCAAAAAATGGAATTAATGCAACCAAGAACAGATTGGACATGTAAAAAGTCCAACTTGATCACTTGCAGCAATCTATGCAATAAAACCATTGATACAGTTTACCATCATTTACACAAAATAATCCTAGTGTGTTAATGATATAGTTAGTTAATAAGAAATTCACTACATATAATTCATATACGTATTCAATAATGCTTATTGCATTTATTGCATTAATAGTAATGTATTCAAAGAAAGTTCTCAATGTTACCTTTTACGGTATAGCACCACCAGTGTTGTAGCTGAATTTATCATAACAGACTTATCAGCTGAACATTTGACAACAGCTCTACACTATTTCTGTAAACAAGAATGCAAGATTAACAATGATGAAATCTCCTAGAGAATATCTACAACAACTCACCATTGTAAGGTGACAAACCACATTAGCTGAAGCTGAGCAAGAGGCTAAGCTGTTGGGACTGGCTGTTGGGAAATGAAAAACTTAGGTTTACATCCACTTCCATCATTGAAGAATCTCTGTTAATCCTTTATCCAATAAAGACAAGTCTTTGATTTGACTGAAGATGAGGATGACAATAATATAGAGCCTGATGTTTGGTAATGGATGGGAGAGCAACAAATGAATCAGGACGTCTCCTTAGGAGGTGGCAGCTGGAGACTTTATGCAAACGGTACACTGTTTCTTGAATACGGAAAAACGTTGTAAACGACAACAATAAACACAATACTATTACTATACGATGTTTATTACATATACATGTATCTTACCTGCATATGTTGCTCTCGACGCCGAACAACGTTTCAGAAATCTTTATACAGTCCAGAGTTAAAACAGTTTTTCGCATGACAATGGTAGGGTTATATATTTTTATTATTATGGAAAAATATCAATAGGCGAATTGCTGAACGTACTAGAAGAACAACAGCGACCATTGGAGTACAGCGTAAAATATTAAAGACATTTGACATTACCCAAAGAAATTTGAATACTGAAGAATATCTCACCCAGCATTCATTCATAATAAGTGTGAATCAGCTAATTTTGGCTTAAAACTCTATGATGGAGTTAAAACGGATTAAGAGTAAGTCAATAAAATCCAATGACGATGAGCAATGATCGAAAAATACGATCAAACCAGATGCTTCCAAGTCGAAGGCTTCAAGAAGTTTACAAAAGTCATGTAAAACGACGTGCAAGTGAGATTAAACCGAAAAAAAAAGGTAAAATATGCCAAGCGCTGCGTGCTATCCAGAATGTTAAGTAAAAGTTATTTTACTCCAAGCTGTTAAAGTGAGTGTTGTTGGCTGCGGAAGGCGATTATATCTCTCGGTTACGTTAATGTCACACTTCGGACGTCATGCACAGAAATTTTTCCAAATAAAAAAACACCAAGCTGGTTACCAGTCTCATCACTGCCTATTACTATTCGACTAAGACGGAGTACTTGGACCGGTTTCCTCTTTGGCAGTAGGTTTGCGGAACACTGCCCCGGTGTATACTTGCTTCAGGAGTTCAGGGATTGCCTGAAACATGTAGTGATACAATAAATTTCCATTAGCTAATCTGACAAAGGTGCATGGCTGCTTGCATAGTAAATGATGTATATTGTACACAACTTTATTATTACAGTGGAGTGAAATACTTAATATTAAGCTCAGGTCCAAACCAAATCCTGCGTCTAGAGAGGGAAAATATAATACCTGTCACTGTATTTATGCCGTTAATATCTTCTCCCCCTCGAGCAATTTACAATACCGCCGCTACTCTTATTAAGATATTTTTCTCTAACTAATACACGTATTTACTTCATGTATTATGTGGGATGCGATCAACGAATCAGCAAATAAAATTTAATATAAAGGGACTCATCTTACAATGGTTTAATGACAATTACCATTTTTATATGAACAATAGTTTGATACTTACGTAACAGTATTACGTGTCTTTGAAATTTGTGCTGTACATCTCCTGTCCTCGTTAGCCCTTAAAGTATCTCACAAAAAAAGTGAAAACCACGGCAAACCAACAGAAACCAATAATATATGCGTGTGGTGAAAGCTCTTTTTCCGTTGGTACAATCCATTTGGAATTGACATATGTTGTATGGGGAGGTAATCATTTCATCGACAATCATTTCATTCACCAACATTATTTCGAAGTTATCCTTTTTTGATAGTTAATTGTCGGTGAAATGTACTGTCGGTGAAATGATTGTCGATGAAATAATACGGACCCGTTGTATGTCAGATCAGAATTTATGTCCATTTGAAATTGACATATGTCAGTTCGGAGTAGACACATATGTCAGGTCAGAATTTATATCCGTTCGGAATGGACATATATGTCAGATCGAAATAATATAGGGAATTAAAATAAGATAATATACTTTGACATTAATAATATTCACTCTGCTGCTATATAACTAATTAATGTTCCCCCCTATTAACTGTTCGATGTTTAATTTAATGAAAACAATCAATAGTTATACTTGATCATCGTGGAATGAGATCATGTAACCAGATATTTTTCGAATTCTGTATGCACAAGTACGTTTACATAACGGCTTAGTATACATGGTTAATAAGGAGGTGGCGGAGAGCGGGCTATGCAATTGGTTGTACTTTGGAGAAACTATTTAATACATTATCGTTCAAAGCTACACTGCGGTATTTATGCTATATGTACGTATGAAAATATGTGTAAATAGATTTCGTCATTTTATCAAACTATACATTCGTTACATTATTTTTTTTTTGAAAAAAAAAAAAATAAAAAAATAACCAATTGGCTTCAAAAAGGTACAAAAATTATTGTAACTTACACGGGCGTCACCGATTTTCGTATGTAGTCTGACAATCCACTAATATAACTTTCAGGGGTCTGTAGATCCACATAAGAATAATAATATATTAACACGGCTACTGCAAATATTTCGTTAATATTAACTGTTTTAATAACCAGGAATTTATCCGACATGTTCAAGTTACTATTACACGTCGATCATCATCAATGTTACCGTAGACGTAGTCATTAAATAATTATTAATTTATTACCCGACATGTTATTCACTTCAAAAAGATGTTAGTAGGATTATTTCCCAAATGACTTCTTACCCCGTTAATTAATTATACGATGCGAATTAAACGCAACACTATTACTATAGTTATTTATATTATCCCGATATGTATATAAACAGCAGTTGACTCCCGGCGATTCACACGTCCGTAATGTCCAAAAAATCCAATGTCAGTAGATATTAGTCACGAGCATGGCATGCTAGTAGACACGTCTTCAGGTATTTAATCAAATATAGAATAAAGAGGAAAAACGCAAATAGGATCTGTCTTCTCTTATCATTTGCAATCGACTTATTAGTGGTAATCTCTGGCCGGATAATAAACTCGAGTAACAGCAAACTATTACTATAGTGAGCAAGCTCATAACGGATATCTCTTTTGCGCAATAACCATTGTGAATATAGTATTTCCATCGCCAATTATGAAGTCCTGTTGGAGAGAGATTTGGCCTGGATATGTAGAAAGCGAAACGTCAAATAAATAAACTGTAGAATTAAGGTTTGTTATCCAAGTAATATTTGCAATTTTACTACAAGAGTAAGAGCAGTTTACGTTACCTTTTTAAAAAACTAGATGCTTTGTTTTAAAAATTACTCTAAACTGCATTTAATAATTACATTATTCTGTAGCAAAAAATTTTTATGTTTGGATATAATTTTAAATAGTTTGTTTTTATTAGCATCTTAAACTTCACGAATAATATACCGTAGACCACTGAATGCAATACCCCCCAAAATATCCTCCTTCCAAAATACAATCGGTCTATACAATACGTTTTGTTACTATTAATAAATAAAAATGTGCTCACAAGCGCGACAATAAACCGTTTTGAGTTGTATTATGGCAAAATATAATGAGTGAGAAATTGCTTGACGTTTTAACTACATTCTCAGTGGCTCTTTTAATGTGCTTGTTTCCCTCTCGCACAGTATCCTTTACTTCACATAGTACCCCCCGGGTACATATTAACCAATCAAGGCGTTTTAGGTACAGTATGTACTCAGGATATGTATTCAGTGGCTTACGGTAGCAATATGGAAATCTATAAATAAATTGGTAATAGTTGCCACTTTATTGCTTCGCTTTCTCAAGGCTTCCATGCACTATTACATACTTTAATATTTCGCCAATAATTTTTAAACTTAACTACAATCTGATGTAAGAGTCCAGTCATTAACAAATATAATTGTTCAGGGCATGTGAAAAAACTTACTTTGAGTGCTACCCGCTTCCGACAATCTTGATAGAATCTTTGTCTAATTGAGCTAACTAAATATATTAGCGTTAGTTCCTAACATAAAATTCTTTCCACAAGAGTTAGACAAACTTAATGAATAAAGAACAATCAACCTTCTTGTATGCAATAAAAGCATGGTTAATTATTTGTGTCTTTATTAGACGCAACTAAGGTGGACAGTCTCAGTTTTACAAATACCTTCCAACAACGTTATTATCGACGCTTACATAACGACTGACGATTGGTATTGCCGTTTCCGGTATGAGAAATAGTTTGTATGAACCATCTAAAATCGGGAAGCACCACAAGGGCGTAAAAAAGAACAATTGTACAGGACAATAGTTATATTTAACTTTATAGAAGGCTAGTGAACGACGCAGCACTTTGAATTAAAAGCGCCATGCGCGTAATGTAATACTAGCATATAATAATACTGACTCTGATATAAATAGTTGAATTAAACAATCTATTGCCTACTATAGCCATTCAAGTTTACACTGGTTCTTTTAGGTGAGCGACTGATATAATGTACACTCGTATTCTGCTAAAAGCAGTCAGTGTGCATGTATGTGTGGTTTCAGACTAAACTTATTTAGCAACTCGTTTGTTTGTGGATTTATACAAGTATGTATTAATAAATAACGCCTATTTCTTCCCGTATATTCAGCAACAATAATGCAAATAAATGAGATGCAAATGTATATAAGAACCTTCTGAACTATGGAAAAAACGTTCGTGTTATGAACTTACGTTACAAAAATATGATGGCTGACAAACCGATAAAACAATAAAAGCAAGTAAAGTAAACTTAAATTGTAATATAATATTAAAATTTAACATACAATTTTCCTTGGATTACAACCACATTGGATTAATACATATTATATTTCACAGTCAAAAAGCTTATACGTTTTACAACAAGTTTATTCCGTCGCTATTTTTTTTTACAACCGTACAACGCCCTTCGGAAGAAACTCTTATCTTGTTGGTCGAACCAGGGCATTTAATAGAGTGTCTGTAATACCTCCAAACTTACAGAAAACCATTATTACTGATCGCAACAGCAGTCTTAATTGTTGTCATTAAAAGTATGGGTAGAGCGTGGTCGTCAAAGGTATACTTTTTAACAATAATAAGTTGTATTCGACTACACTGGTATGTACTCATTAACGTCTAATTTTTTATCCGTACACAGGAAGATAAAATCCTTGTTGGATTTGGCAACGGGAAAAATGGAAGAAGAATGAGAGCAACCTATTTAAATCATAAAACTGCAAAACAATGTGCTGATAGATGGAAAGACATTCGGGGATGTATGTGCTTTTAATTATTTTTGGTTTCAGTTAGGAGTTGGGTGGCTTGGTCTTACGCGCGTGTTGTTCAGCCCGTAACTTTCTAACATAACTTGCATACGCTATATATTCCAACAGATATCGACAGACCATTTACTCCGTTCGAGTGTAATATAATTCGACGTTTGTACCAGACATATGGCCCGCGATGGAGAAGAATGTCCGCAGTCCTCCACCGCTCTCCTGAAATGATAATGGAGTGCTGGCTTTCTTTAAAAGCTATGGATGACAAGACTGAGAGAATACACAAACAAATGTCTATCCAGCGACTTCTTTCTTGAAACCTGCACCTGCCTTAAATTAATTCATGAGGGCTATTAAGGCATATTAATATACACGAAAATTTTTTGAAATTTATCTTTTTTTTCTCCTTTTTCTTTTTTCTTCCTGCTTTTTGGATCGGCCATATTCTAGCAGAGACCCGTTATCAGATAAAAGACATCAATTATGTATATTGATTACGATAGCATTAATGAAAATTATGTACAGTATATTACATAACTAAAGATTATGCCGGCCCTCTATACGGACTGATTCATATGAAGATCTATACCGGAAAAATTACACAATGCGACTAACTTACGATGTGAATTCATTCTCATTCTCTGTCACTTTCATCGAATTTGTCTCTTACTTATTTTATACATGCCAATAGAAAGACAAAAAGGTATAAATCGAGCTGGAGCAGAATCTATTAACATCTTTGCAAAACGAGAAATAGGTAACATTAAATGTGAATCTCCGTTATTTAACGCCAGCAGACCTTGCAACACTGTTTAAAATGTGGAACTGCTGTATAGTTTGGCCCTTGATATTGAGGATTCTTTGCATTATTTGATTTATGAAGCTTGATTCCAAGCACATAGTACATAAACCTGTTTACATCTGTGAACGGCGAAATAATCACATGATTTTCTGTGTCCTACAAATTTAGATACTATGTCGATCATTTCGCTACAACGAATTATTTTATTGGATTATTAATACTGCGGCAGTTAAAAATTAGCGACTTCTGTTCACAGCTGAAGCAGCGGTGTTGATGCAAAAAGTTCCATGCTCGAAGAATTCATATCATAAAAGTGAGTTTCTAACTCTTGTTCTGAAATAAATATCTAATTACCGATGAATAAAGTCCAACCGTCCCCAATAGTAAATAAACATGATTTACCCTGCATAACGTCCCTGAAAATCGATGATCGACATCGAGACTTTTGTCATAAAACTTTGTTAGCCTATTGCAGGCGATCCATTATTGAAAGTGATTCGTTCGAACAAAAGTGAGTGAAGAAGAATATATGTTATACATATCGTTCGCTGGCTGGGAACAGATGTTACCCACTAAGAAGAATCATACTTGAGATAACGAACGTTTGCTTACGTTTAATAAAACAAGATGTTGCGTTTTATTTGTATCAAAACAGAGCGAGTCTTTCCGTCGGCTCGTAATAGTAAGTAGTGGGTTTACTATGCGTTTTTTCGTGCCAAACATTTAATAACTTTCTTAACCAACATGAAGAAGGTTAATACCGATGCGATGGTGTTAAGTAAAAAGAGTTAATGTTTATAGTGCGTATAGAAATGCATATTATTGTCTAATGCATACACATACGGTTGGATACAACAAAACGATTCATAATCCGCCCACTTAACATATCGAAGAATCAATCTCCACATACATTGTCATCCTCACCAACCTCTGAGTATGGACAACGTTTCAGGACATTCGACTGTTAACTTTCCTCATCAACCGTAGAGAGCGTTCAGTCCAGAACTCAGTCATCTCAGTTCAGAACTGAGCAGGTCCTAAACTGAGGTACAACACCGTCCATATGATTTATGCAGATCTCAATCCTCTTCGTATTCTCAAGTTCTCCCTCACACAACATCAACTCAGCAATACACTATCTGCAATCCGTAGCTCTGCTCATGCTCTGGAATGCCTTTACCACAAGGGCCTCCCCCATTCTGACATCATTAATTTACTTCTAGGATGTCTCCTCTCTGGATAGAATACAATTACTCACTAACATATCTAGAAATAGATACAGTCAAAACTGGATATAACGATACCTGTATATAACTATAACTGGATTTAACGATAAAATTTGTCATTACCAAAACATTCTTATTTAATTTCACCTGGTCGTACCGATTTTTACTATTAAAACCTCGTTATTACGTATAACGATACATTATACGATGTACAGTCAACTCTGTCTATACCATTGTCTATACCGGTTTTGCCTTTATACGGGTCCAATTTCGCTGAACCAAAAAATTCCATATTAATCTCACACCTTATAACGGCAAATCTTAATAACTCTGTTTATACCAGCTCCGGCACAAGTTACACAAATCATGTAGACCATTTTACTTTAAATTATATAAAAAGATTTACTTTATACCGGCGAAGTCGATTATTTGTATATAATTGTCACGGCTGATGCTGAAACCATGACCTTTCATTGGTTGATCAGATTTTATTCACTAACCCCATTGGTTAATTTCAGCTTCAGCCAGATTTCAGCATCAGCTTCACATAAATTACTAATAAATGCAGCCAACCTTTAATCATTACCATGTCACGCAAGAAAATCTCTGCCAAAAATTTTAATACCGAATGGAGACACCTAAATGCATTAGAACTTCATTAACAGGGTTGCAGGAAAAAAAATTTTGTCAAATTAAACTAAAAAATCCTTCTTTTGCTAATGTAGAATTGTTTTGTTGCGGTACTTATACTAGCACCGTTGGTGATGTTATCCGTGAAAGCGGAAAGTGGCTTACAATAATCATGCTGCTCAACCTCGCAAGAAGCGACAACCAAAATGGCCTGCACTTGAACAAGCGATGACTGCGTGATATAGAAAAAAGAAAGATAAATCATGAAACAAACTCAAGATAAAAATAATAATAATTAATTATTGGTTACACAATTTCCTACTTGTGTAACAGTTTTATATACCGGTTTCTCGTTATAACGGTCAGAAACTGTCAAAACACTCGTGCCGGTATAGACAAAGTTAGACAACTACCCAGCAAAAAAGTAGCGCAAAGCCAATGAACGATTGTGTCATATGCAGATCTTTTGTAGATCTTTTGTGTTGCGTACAGATGATTTCCCAATATATATTTACACCTTCTTGAACTTGACTTAGTACTAAGTAATTTCCTGAATAAAATCGACTAAGTCAAGTTCAGGAAGGTGTAAATATATATTGGGAAATCATCTGCAGATAAATCTAAATTAAGCTAGTTAAATCTAATTAGGAAATCTGTACGCAACACAAAAGATCTACAAACGATCTGCATATGACACAATCGTTCATTGGCTATGCGCTACTTTTTTGCTGAGGCAGCTGGGGTAGTTTCCCACTTACAGTAACAAAGCACAACTTTATCGTTTCCTGTTACCAGGAAAGCTTATTTCACATGTAAGTACCATTGTAAGATTTACAAGTGGCAGAATCCCATTCGTGGAGGAAAACTATAGTCACAGTGTTGTTTTGGGGTATAGAAGGGTCCCTCCCAGCAGTTCTAACGCCTTTTTTTTTCCCCTCGTTCAATTCACAATTCCCAAATAGCTCGTCTATCTCTGCAAGTATGTCAGCACGTAGCGAACAAGAAAATGTTACTCTTGACGATTCCAACAGTCAGAGTTCAAACCGCAAAAAATACAATGTGCTTGTTCAAGGTATTTGACCATCTCGTTTTTCGTTTTTCACGTTGAATCTTCTCTTATTTTACAATGCGGCGCTTTTTCAAAATGAAAAGTTAAAAACGAAATAAGTGCATGGTTGAGTCTGCAGCTAGACCAAAACGACACGCTCGAGACAATCCGACAGAATCTTGCCTCTAATACCCAGTTCTGCGACCGTTTCAGACCTAACCTCGCGACTATGGGTATGGAAGTTAAAGTCGTCGACAAAGACGAACAGATGTCGTCTGAACAGCAGGGCGATGAATACCTCCATCTCTTGGCAAAAAAGAAACCCGTACCGGCAGCCCACTACTTTAAAAAGATCCGTTCTTTCATCACGCACTATGATGATGAAGCCATCCACTTTGTTGTGGACATCACTAAGCCATATGATGCTGGTAAGTCATTCAAAGCGCTAGTAACGTTTGCAGCCGCAATTATTCCCATCACCTCTCCTAGCACAATATCAGACCCCTCACCCTCCTTGTTAGTATAGCTTTAAATAATGCCTTTCTCGCACTGCTTTCTTCGTTGCGGCTCATTCCCGCTATTTATTGCATTACACGTGCCTTCATACACCACACCCTCCTTGTTAGTATAGCTTTAAATAATGCTTTTCTATTAATGGCGCGTATTGCTTCGTTGCCGCTCGCCTCCCCTATTTTTATTTGAACCTTACGCTATTGGTTATAACGTGTAATATGTACTAATTAGTGTATATAATTTCCTATTCCTAACTAAGCCGTTACCGGAGTCGCCTCTGTTGTACCCAGTTGAGTATCTGTTTCCTTCTAGCTCAATTATTTTATGCTTACTATTAATAATTTTAAGTTCCCACAGGGAAAAGGCCAAGCGAAGAAGAACGTAAGGAGTCGACCTTGTTCGTGTTTCTCAATTTCATTATTAAATCGCTTACTATTGTGGAATTTTTAGATTTTCGGCGTGAACTTCCTGCATACAATACCAAAACTTGGATAGTCAATTCAATAATACCGATCAATGCTTCCGATTCATATTATTGTGCCGACTTTAAAAAGACGAATAAGGAACTCCTGGCGAGAGTCATAAGAAAACAATATGTAACACTTCATGGTCCTCGAGCATCAGGCAAGTCAACACGAGCCCATGTAGCCATGCACCAGCTTATGGACCTCGGATTCACTTGCTTTTAGTAAGTTTATATCTTCTCAGTCATAATATCCATATTGCCAAATTTAATACTTTTCTCTATTTTTTATTATCCCATTTAGCATATCCCTCGAAAATGCCCATATTGACCAAGGAGAAGAACTCTTTTGGAGTGATTTGGACACTAATTTTAGATCAGGTTGTCGAGGTTGTTTTGATGAATATCCTCCCCTTCGCTCTGGACGAGATTTCCTTAAATGGTTCGCACAATGCACCTATGAAAACCCTGTTGTCCTCTTCATTGATGAATTCGATATGCTGTACAGTGCAGCTGCTGCGATCCGGAATAGTTGTCTGACTACTCTTCGCGCTATCAAACACATGGAAGGAGTTCCTCTCCATTCAGTGGTTGCTGTTGGGACTTTTGCCATTCTCGCTCTGAAGTCCAACAATAATACATCTCCCTTCAATATACAAAACCCATTCAGAATCCTAATTTAACCCGTGAAGAAGTCGAATCACTTTTCACTGCGTTTTCTTCAGACCGAAGCATCACGATAGATCCCAATGTTGTTGAGGATATTCATTGGCAAACAAATGGGTATGTTTTGTAGTCTTGGATGTTGAATCATTCGAAGTAATATTCAATTTTTGGTATTAATCCTTTTAGACATGCTAGTCTCATATGTATATGTGGGAAAGCAATCGATGATAAAATGACTAAACTTCTCGAATCGCGTCATCTTCCTGTCGCCAAATGGAAGAAATTCTTTATCACATACTTGATTCCAGAGTTGTTCAAGTATGCAACCTTTAAGAGCATCATAGATACACTGAAAGAACCGACTTCAAAAAAATATGTGGTTTTTCTTCGATCACATTTTTTGTACGACCCTTACGCCCAAGTAAGTGTCGACTACGAGGATGAAGATAAAGTCGTATTCCTATCTAGGCATGGAATCTTACGGTCTGGCGAGGATGGATATAGCTTCGTGATGGCTTCACCACTATTAAGTGCTGTCATTCAGAAGATGGTCCTACCGCATTTCTTTCCGCATATTTCTGTAACTCGTCCTCCCACTCAACTGGATGGCTCCTTGCACTTGTTGAGATCCCTCAAGCAAGCCGTTCGCTACTTTGACCCGAAAACACTCACAATGGCAACAAAGCATTCTCACAAGCAAGCCCATGTGAACATTGACAACGATGACAAGTTTGTGCCCCGAGAAAGTATATACCAACAGGAATTAACAAGCATGTTGTCAAATTGGTTCAAACAATGGTCGGAAATCTATGTAGAGGCTCAATGCTGTCTTCAAGTAATTGAGGATGGAGGCTCGACACAGAAATATTACGATATAATTGTCACTGATCCGGGAGAATCACCATCAGCAGCGATTATTGAGCTTGTCGCCACAGAGACTTGGCAAAAAGTGGATGAACATTACCGACGCACTCTTCAGTACGCCAAATCAAAAAGGGAGGAAATGCTTGTTAGTGAAATTTGGACTGTCCATTTCACTTGCGAACAAAACTACTTGACCGATGCAAGCATCAGCCGCTGGCCATCAGAAGAACAAATGAGAAACGGCCTGGGTGCCATACATTTTTGGCATAATTTGGAGTTTTCAGAAGTCCGTATGAGTGCGCGTTGGCCTGTTTTTAGTGGAAATTATAAGATTGAGGAGATTATCGATGAACAGGTGTGTCTCACCGAATAGTTTTTGATTTAACTTTCCAAATTATTAATATCTTTTATTCCAGGTTTTACCGGTGGAAGTTTAGTAGTTATGTGCAAAATAATTAGCATTAATTTAGTCTTTTAGTATAGCTTATTCTTTGCTGCATTTCACGCATATCGAAGCTGAAGTGGTCAAAGTTCAGGCTAAGCGTGTTTTCGTGTATGCACAATTGTCCGATTTATCTATTAGTAATGTTATTATATCCACTAAGCTCTTGTAAATATAATCAATACATATCGATATCATACCCATCTTACCTATCCAAAAATCAACGCATAAACCGAAAGGTTTAATTTTTTGCGTCTCCAAGTAATGGTTGTCAAAAGGGAAAATCGGGCAGCAATTGAAATACGTAGAATTTTTTACCTGAGACATGTAAGGTATTTTCGATTCAGAAACCACCACCCAGCTTGTATCACTCTTGTGCGGCTCGAAAGAGCAGGTGGTGTAATGGATTATCAGTATGGATAATGATTATCAAAATTTAACAAAACCAGACAAACTGTACATAAAAATTATATATATAGTGTAGTGTTGTACCTCAGTTGGGGACCTGTCTCAGTCCAGAACTCAGTTGTCTCAGTCCAGAACCCAGACACACCCAGTTGTCTCAGTCCAGAACTGAGACAGGTCCCCAACTGAGGTACAACAAGTACAATATTGACAAGCTTTTTGACAAGTTGGCTGATGATAATTCTGATGACATGTGGAATACCATTTATCATAATAAAGTAAGACCTTTGTCATGTCTCGAAAAAGAGAGTAAATACTCTAGTAAGCTCTTACCTACAGGAGAATTACCTAAACCAAGAAATAATTATGATTTGGATTCAGCTGCAGGTATGAAGACAAGAATTGCATTGCATGCTTATATTGAAATAAAGTCAATTTACATAAGTATATTAATATTATCGCGATTTTCTAATTTAGTGATTCAAACGTTGAATGAAAACTTGTAACCGTATTGTTGTGTTCTGATAACACTTTGCGTATTTAGAGTTATCGTAAAGAGCATGTCAGATAAGCGATGGTATTTATTTTATAGATGTCATGTAAAACCTTTCGAAGCGGGTATCGGTAGATCGGGATTTTTCTTCTTTAGTTCACACCAGGATTGAAAAAACGAATCTCGTTTCTGTTTGCAATTCTGCTGTAAGCTACGTAACGTATTTCCAGAGTTAGAAGTAGGGTCATGTTTCGTTGCTTTTATAAATTGATTATGTGTTTATTAATTGTTTGTGTACCATAACATGTTTTGTTTAATTATCACGTGATTAGACAATTTTAATTTCTTATTTGACGGAACGATGTTACTTCGGTGTAACTTCATTAGGAAAATAAATTCAGTATAATAAGAATGGATATTCTCTGTGGAAAAAATTTTTTATCGTACATACATGGGATGCGATATTACTACAGAAGTGCTGCAAAATGACATGGAAAGAGAGTGGGAAAGTTAGCCATCAAGTGTGCTTATATGTTATCAGGGTAGGATGCGACAGAAATATGGGTGGGGATAGTCAGACAGAATTTTTTGAACCAAAGGAAAAATTGACGATGACGAAGAATTGTTTGGTAATATCGATAATAGAGAATACTTCAAACTATATATTGCCGCCTCGTTTCATTATTACTCATATCCATCACTAGTTATTAACAGTCCAAAAATTTATTATAATAGCAAAAACTTCTAATGTCACTAATTATCCTTTTTGATTTACAATTCTGTCTGTGGAAATTCTCTTTTCACACAGACAGCCATCATCCTTTCATTATACTAATATGTACATCCATCAACTACATAATAAAGCAGTTAACTGTTGCTGTACACCTGTGGATTAGCGTATGATGAACTTGTGTTCAGTTTAGGTATCCTTTACACGTTGGGGCTCCACATAAACAAGGAATTTTGCTGTCTTCAAATGGAAACTGCGATAGAAAGAGAAAACAAAGAAAAATATGTAGGTAAGTGAAAGAAGGAAGCGTGTATTGGATGCGCTAAGTGAAGAGGTAAGCGTGAAGAGTACACATATATTCTAAATTTCGTAAACTACACTACCCCTCCCTTTCTTCACATTATGTCTCTCATTCTCCAAGCTCTTCCCTATTCTCTCTTACCTTATAATCATAAGTAATCTCTTCTCCAATTTCAATGTCCCGTTTTGCGTATATTCCGATCTTTTTCTGACCGTCGAGTGTTATAATCTTAGCAGTACAATTAGGCTGGATTAAGCAACAATGTGCATATACGATATTGATAGTTAGAATAATAGAACGATAGTTAGAACAAAGATTTGGAATAGTGAATAGAAGTCATATATACAGTATGTTATTATGAAATATTTGTAAGCTATGGGTTTTATTGCTTTAGAACACAGCGAAGTATACTGAAACTTCAATGCAGGTAGAAAAGTCCGTTGGAAGCAGATGATGAGTTGATGAATGAGAGGAGTGATCGTATTTTTACTAGTGTTATTGAGATTGGTACTGCGGTTGACGCTGCATTTGATATTGGGGATATCATTATTCTTACTATTCTCGTTTTCGTTATCGTTGTCGTTGTTATGTTCATTATTGTCGTTACCATTGATACTACTGCTTTCCGTCCGCATACACTCATTACGCAAACTCACTCTGATCCAATTCCACTCTTCCCCATCACTCCCGACCCGAATAATATACAAACCTACCGAACACGAATGATTTATAAACCTCGCAATATTTCCCTTCTTAGTCGCATCAATAACAGTATCATCATCAATCCTAAACAAATACGACCCGCCAACACCTTCCTGTTCATATCTCCTTTCTCTATGGTCAGCCACTGATTGTCTAACCACTTCTCCAACATATTCGATAACCATATCACTTGCATCGATATGCTCCATGGCGAATAAGCCCCAATCGTGTATCTGTGACTTGGCAAATCGTAATTGTTTCTTACGCCCTTTGAGTTGATTGAATTTTACAATGTCATTTGTATCAGCGGTACCAGTAGTTCGGTACTGTGCCATATCTGCGAGAATTAATCGATTCTTGGCACGGTTTGTACGTGAAGTTATACGAGTGGTTGTATTGGTAGATGATGGGACAGCGATATTGGGTGTTGAGACATTTGTGCGGTTAGCAACGTGAGAGACATATCGTGTTTTTTGGGACAGTGGGATTATATAGTGGCCTTCTGTTCTTGCACACCCAGTCGTGTGTGGGGATGGAGGTGGAGATGGCGTCTTCGTTGTTATGTAATCGACTAACGTTGGAATAATGATGATACGTTAGTAAAAATGTAGCCTTGTCTTGATGGTTACTCGTTAGTAATATCAATATAACCAACTGGCCTCACGATAACCTAAACACAATCTTTCAATAACGTACCGAACGTAGTAACTGAATTCCCGCCGTCGAAAACCGTAGCAACTCCTTCCAATAGTCCCTTTCCATCGACTCGTCCCGCCTTCTCCAATTCCAACGCCATCTTCAAATAATACAAGTCTTCCTCATCGACCATCTCGTCTTCTTCCAAATCTGGCAACTGCTCCACTTCAACATTGAAGTCTTCATCCAGCGTAAACTCCCAGTCGCTTTCCTCTTCCTCTGCACTCTCATGTGGCTCGTTTTGTGATTTGGAAATTTGTGAAGAGGATATGATATCGATATCAGATGTCGAATTCGAGGATGATATGTCGGGTGTAACTTCATCCATAGAGTGATGTTTTGTCGGAGAAGATGAACGCGAACGTGGAGATGTCGCAGGTATCCAAAGACGCCGTGGATGTGAGATGGAAAGAGAGTTAAAAGTAGTTGATAGAGGTGGGGCCTTTATTGCTTCGTTGTCGGAAGATGACGAGCGGTTAGATCTTGCTGTAGACATTTTTTGGGCCGATGATTTGAGTTTTGTTTGTTTAGACTGAGACTTTTGTTTCGACCTTTGTTGTTTGAGAGTAGTTACCACTTTCTTCCGTTCGCGCTTCAGATCATCGCTCCCATTTTCATCTTCACTACTACTAGTAAATTCAATGTTTCTTGTTTTCCTTACTTTACGCGCTTTATCTTCCTTTCCTACCCTTCTTCCCTTTCTTTTAACATCAACTTGATCATCTTCCAATTCATCAATAGCAACTATCTCAACAATATCATTATTCCTGTTACCCTCATACTCATCACCAACTACCACCAGCCCATTAACGGCCCGTTCATTCTCGCGACGACGGAAATCTTTAAGGAAGTCGTCATCATCAGATGATGTAGATAAATAATCACGTAAACGTTGGGGATGAGAACGTTTTTCTGGTTTGTTTTGTATGCGAGTGGTAGCCGACGGTAATGGAGGTGATGGAACAGTTAGATGAGATGGAGAGGAGAGAGACGAGTCAGAGTGAATTTCCCCCTCCTCTGACGAGGAAGAAGAGGAAGAAGCTGTATACTTAGTTTTGCGTTTATGTTTATGTGATTGATCATTATCTGACGATGACGAAGAAGTGAAATCAATAGATCGAGGGCGACCTCGTTGCATTGTATTTCGGTTGTCTTCCTTTGGATATGTTTTGGAAGATACTTCCGTTTCGGCACGACTACGTTTCTTGAACGATGGAAGTTTCTCGTTGTTCGTCGGTACCATACCGTCTTTGAGTGTCAGTTTGCCCTCTCCTAGAGACGCTTCACTATTGCCTATAGACCGGACTTCATTAACCAATTTAACCTTATACATCTTAGCCTGTCGTCGCTGCTGCAATCTCGGAGTCAGGAAGTCGTAAATATAAGGCACCACGACTCGGTTCTTCACATCTTTCAAAAACACGTCTGCCAACTCTGTTTCAACCATCTTTCTTGAACGGTAGATTAATGCTGGAATGTCCAATGGCTCATCGTGAGACGTCTCAATATTAATTGGTGATTTCTGATTTGGTACAGAAGAGTCAGTGGTCGTGGTGTGGTTTGATATCGACTGATCAGGAAGCTTCTTGGCTTCGTGAAAAGTCATCTCAAGACGATAGCCGAGGAGTAATTTATTGTCAAGAGCAGACATGCAACGGCGAGCATGAGATTCCATACGAAAGGCTATGTACCAATTCTTGTCTGTGTGATAGATCTGAAGCGGTAAATTTGAAAAAATAAGATTATTGGGAAAAGTATTTGAGTTAAGGACGACACTTCACACAATTACGATGGAGAAACCAACCTCTTCCGGTTCGTATAATTCAAAATATCCCCTTACATCTTCAAGTATTATCTTAGGGTATGGTAGGCAAGATGAAGGAATTGTTATGTGGGGTCTTTTTTCATCATCATCAGTTCTTGGCCGAAGCTATATATATAAAGATTGATTCGATTAGGGCATTGGTTTCACGCATAAGAACATACACTGATTTACAAGAATACCACTCACTTTATGATCCTTTCCATCCTTATAGCTATCCTGGTCTCTATCCCGATCTCTATCCTTGTCTCTATCTTTATCGCGTACTCTACTCCTTCCTCTTCGTCTCTCATCATCTCGACTCCCAGTCCGTCCACTCTCACTTTGACTACTTCCGTTGGAAGAGTACCAACTCCGACTTCTCCTTTCCGATCTTATTCTATCTTTTCGCCTGCCGCTTTCTCTGTCTCTCTCTCTGTCTCTGTCTCTATCTCTGTCTCTATCTCTGTCTCTTTCTCTGTCTCTGTCTCTTCTGTCTCTATCCCTCTCCCTAACTCTTCCTCTTCTCCTGTCTTTATCTCTCTCCCTCTCTCCCCTTTCTCTCTCCCTTTCCCTTTCCCTATCTCTTTCTCTATCCCTCCCTTTCCCATCTTTATCTCCTCTCCGTTCTCTCTCTCTAGATTCTCTTGACCGAGTTCTTCGGCGTGGACGATAGCAATCACTACCGCGATGATTCCACCCTTCGTCATAGCTAGAATCAATTTCGCCCTCTTCTTTGCCTTCGGATAAGTCTCTCTGGTTGCTTTTTATATTCGGTGTAGACGCGGATGGGCTTATGGAGTTAATCTGCTGTGTCTCTTTTAGTACGGATTTACCATGTAGTTTGCTATCTCTTGAAGGCGAAGTTTCTTGTCGCAAGGCGGTATGCCCAATTGTGCTATTAGGTGTGAGATATGTTTCGCCTGATCTTTTATGGGGGGTTTGATTATTTATATTGTCCTGATTTACATTGGCGAATTTGTTCCTTAGGGTGTCAAGTGAGAGTGTAGGAGGCGGATTTGTTGGTCGTTCTATGGGAGCTGCGGCTGGAGGTTGTATTGGCACTGGTGAGAGTGAAGGTGGTGTAGGAGCGTCGCCTATTTCCATATCGTCATTGGCTGAAGATGGCGTGGCAGCTCCCATTTGGGTTTCTGAAGTATATTTTGCAAGAGGGGCGATCATTGCATCGTATGCTGCTTTTAACGTAACGCCTTTTATGATGGAAATAAATGAACGAGACAAGTATAAGTCATTATGTCTCAATTCCTGAAGAGCAACGAACCTTCACACTTCCCATTCCCCATAAGAACTATTTCATCAAGTCTCTCTTCCATCTTATCACCCCACATCCTTACCTTCAGGATCAAACTCAACTTTGACTCTTTCATTTCCAATCTTTCGTCCATTTCCTTCCTTTACCGCCCGACGCGCTGCAGCACGTGCATCTTCTCCGTAATAGGTTACTGTGGCGAGGCCCAAGCTTTCGCCAGTAACAGGGTGTATTTCGAGTTTTACCCTGACATCATCACCATAGTTGGAAAAAATAGAAGCAATTTGACGATCAGTGGTTATCGGGGGGATGCTGGAGACAAAGACGGAGGCCGGTTGTGGTGAACCAAAACGGAGATCGGGCTATAAGGTGATGAAGGATCGTTGAGAACAAGAAAACGGACAAGAGAAAACAGAGTAGTTCGGAGTTCGGGACAAGATACAATATGAAAATGTCGATTTTGATTAGAATGTTGTGATTGGCTAGCACTTTCAAACTTTTCAAAATATTAGAACACTTACTATAAAGTCCACGGGTTCCAAAGCAGTCAAATACACCTGCCTCAAGGGTGTCGATCCAAAACTGTTAAGTTCCAATCGTGGATCTGTAGGAATTATTGGAGAATGCTTTTGGACAGGCGAAATGGAGCGGGTATTTATGATACGGAAGAATTGAGTGAGGGCAATGAATAAATCGCGGTAAACGACATCGAATAATTGAAGTTTGAATAAAGAGGATTGAAGAATTAATGGAACTGATAAGTGTCGAATAAATGAAAATAACCAATTAATATGAAAGAATTTTGTTAAACGTGCTATCTCGAAGTGTTTGTCGTTTTGCATACGTACATTCTGTAGAGTTTCTCCATAGTATCGATATATAGGCTCTTTACTCGTTTTCGTGGAACTGCTATCGAGTATTGGATCATAAGTACAACGGAAATTACGGACAATTGATGGTGACTTGTGTGTTTGTTGAGGCTTTTGATGCTGCTTGTGGGTATTTTGCTGTTGTATGCTTGCGTGCGATTGCGAGTCCTGTGAAAATTGCGACTGTTCTTCTCGAGGCGGTTGTTGGAAGTGTTGTGATTGCGTGGTTACTTGTTGTTGTTCTTCTTCTTGCTGCTGCTGCTCCGATAACGATTGCCTGTGCAAACTGCCACCCAGTGTTTCGTCTTCTCGAAATCTATATATATCGGCACTTAGTGGGGCTGTTGTAGGTAGTTCTAATACCGGAAAATAGTCCATTGTTTGGTTACTCGACGCTAGTTCATTATTATTGTTGCTCTGTGTAGTGTGATCTGAGCCAACATTTGACATTTTATTGAATATTAATGATTAATCTTCGTAAGGTGCAAGAAATGCACAGTATTTGGGCGTCCCTGTGATGTGACACGAATTTGAGTCGTACAATATGTTGGGAAATTTTACACTACCAAATATAAATAATAATTAGATCAAGAAGCACGCGTGCACTTTATATGAATGGACCTTTGCAAAACAATTTAATAGCAAGAGAACGATTGACGTCGAAGTCAAGTTACAGTATCCACAGAGACTTTCGTATCAAAAGTAATTTTGGTATAGGTTTTTATAAATTTCATATTCTCATGTGGACTGCAACAATATTATTGGAAAAGTAAATGAGAGCTGAAATCTCTAGATTTGCTGTGTACTGTTACAAGGGACACCGTAATTTCACTAACTATGCCAACACACAAATGACGTTTTTGTAGTGTCTATTAACCTGAAAGCAAGAGCAAAAGATCTCCCATGTCTTTTTGCAGAGTTAACTGAAAAGTATAGTGAA